CTGACACTGTGTCTGACAAGGCAGTTTCTTGCCTATGTTAGGATACCTTTATGATCCAAAACCTGCTTCTCATGAACACACAGACTGAGCAGGATGTGAACTAATAGCTCTTAGTCACCTCTTGGTTAAATGAACTAGAAAGAGTTGCCTTGGTATCTTGCTCTAAGGTATGTTTTCCAATCCTTGAATCATTCTTATAAATCTCTACTGATCCTTCTGAACCTTTCTGAAGTCTGACTTCCAGAACAGGATGAAATACTTTACTACTTGCATTAATGTGCATTAATATGGATCTGTATGTGGTAAATCTGGTCATTTGGCAAAGAATTAAAGTTAAAATAATTGGTTAAACCACAAATAGAGGAGACATTTAGCAAGAAGAATACCAGTAAAATACATTAGTTTCTCACTTCAAATGAGATTTTTAACATGAAAGCTGAAAACTAGATTATTGTCTACTTGGACTGTGATCAGGTAGCTGAGGCCCAGTATAGCTGCACACTCTCACTGAAATGAAGCTTCAGTTTGCTTTTAAAATTAATTGCTGAAACTAAAATATTTTTTTTCAGCATTGGTTGAAGTGATTTTTCTGTAAATTGATTTAGCAAATAATGTAGAACATGTGGAAAATGAAATAATCAAGCTATCTGTGACAGAAACAGTGGCTCTCTCACCAGCCTGCACATTAATGGGCCCAAAGGCACAGATCTCATTTACTCCATACCTGCTCCAAAGTGAAGGCTATCATCCTGTGTGTAAAGCATATTCTATTCATAACTGGTAACTATGGCCCCTTAAATACAATTTCATTCAATGTTTTTTAACAATGCAATACTGGACTCTGGATGCAATCTCTGCAGAATGTATGAGACCAGTGCATGAGATAATTTCCTTCTGAGTTGCCCCTTTTTCTGATATTATGGGAGTTTGCAGATTTACTTTCAGGAAAAAATATTACCATAAAAACTCCCGCTGAGTAAATGTGCTTTTAAAAGCTTGTTGCACTAAGCCTTTTATTTTACCTACGTTGTTACCCAAATCCTACCTTGACAGATGCAAATAAAAGAACTGTGGTCTTTGAGTAAGTCCAGAACTGTGTATATTGATCCCATATTTATATTTGAACAAGCAATACAGTTTCAGTAGCTTCATCCTTTGAAAACCTTGGGACCCAAAGCCAGCACGAAGCTCAAAGAGAAATCGTTACCATCTGAGCTTAAATAGGAGAGAAAGTCCCATCTCTTTTCAAGCACCATGGATTAATGTTGGGGGAAAGTCGGTAGCACTAAATTCACCCTGAATGTTAAAACCATGGATTGCAGTGGCACTGAGGGCCAGAGATGAGCTTGGCTTGCTGTGACCATGGCTATCTGATTCAATTAACATTTACGTTCTAAACCTTCCCCCCCCACGCCATTTGCAAGTCCTAAGTAATATGGTAAATATGGAACAAATTATCAGCAACAGCAGGGGAGATTTAAAATATGCATCTCAAGTTTGGAGTCACTCAGAAACCTGCGGTGATGCAATCACTCAAACAGAGTGATCTTTATGAGTTTAGCTTTGCCAAGAATCCCTGTGCAAACTGTCTTCCCGAGGCTCCTCAGCCCCGGGTGACACAGCTGCCGAAATGCCTCATCCATGGAGACCAACGCCTGGAAGTTTTCCCACATCAGGTGTTTCCCGGTGACTTAGCGCGGTGCTTTCCAACCTCTTTTGATCGAAAAGCTGTAAAGGTTTCCGAAGGCACCGTGCAGAGCCCTGTAGGGCGAGTTAAAGGCTGGCGGTGGTGGCTGCAGGCTCTGGAAGGTTTGGGTTGTGTTTGAGGCCATGAGGAGCCAAAGGCTGCCCACCCCATCCCAGAACGTGGGGAGACCAGTGCATGAGAGAATCTCCTTCTGAGCTGCCCCTTTTTCTGATATTATGGGAGTTCACAGATTAACTGTAAGGAAAAATATTGCCTGTGTCATATGTGTCACCTCAGAGCTCCGAGCACGTTCACGACCAGCGTGTCATCGTTGGCCATCGACGGGCGCAGAGGCCGCGATCCACGCGGGATGAGCTTCAGCAACGCGGACACCATACCTGCCATACCATGCCTCGTCCAGGGCTGCGGGAAACCCCCAGGGAACCCACTTTTTTTGTGGTTTTTGGATGGCTCCCTGAAGCCCGAGCGCACACGAGGCGTCACATCCCCCTCAGGCCACCACGTCCCGCCCGGCGGCCGCCATTGCCGCGGGCTGCCAGGAGGGGGCGCGGCGGCGCCCGCGGGACGCCATGAAGGGCGGGCGTGAGGGGGGACCGGGGGCAGCGGGCCCGCGACAGCGGGGACACCGGTGCAGCGATCCCCGGGCTGTCCCACACCGTGTATGGCACAGGCAGAGACCCCCGGGCTGTCCCACACTGTGTATGGCACAGGCAGCGACCCCCGGGCTGTCCCACACCGGGCATGGCACAGGCAGAGACCCCCGGGCTGTCCCACACTGTGTATGGCACAGGCAGCGACCCCCGGGCTGTCCCACACTGTGTATGGCACAGGCAGAGACCCCCGGGCTGTCCCACACGGGACACCCTTAGCCCGTGCCTGGTGCCGAGCTCAACATGAGCGTCCTCGGGACAAAGCTTTGTCCCGCTGCCCCGGGCTCGGTCACCACCGCAGCATCAGAAGCTCCGCGGTGCTGCCGAGGTGTAAATCTGGTGTAAAGCTGCGTGTAACTCTGGCACTGACCCGGCGGGCGTCAGGGAAGTTAACAGGGGCAGAGTGACGTGGGCTGGCAAAAATACATTTCTCTTTCGGTGAAAAGTAACGGCGTTGCAGGAGGTGTCAGGGTGACACGGAGAGTGGTGTGGTGGTTTATGACATACCTGTATGGACTCGCACTGGTGTCCCTGAGCTTTCAGCAAATTTATGAGTGAGGTCAGGAGGACACTGAGCAAACCAGGAGTAAGTCAGGAGGATGCTGCTGTGCTTGCTGCCTGTGTTGGAGGAGAGCTCTGCAGAGCTGAGCAGCAAAAACACGATTGAGGGCATGATTGAGCTGAACTGCTCACCTCTGTGAGGGCTTTCTGTAAAATTCACCTCTGGGGGTACCCAAGAGAGGATAAGACATGCTCTGCTTCGCAGTTGGGTTCGGGCTTCTCCCCGAGGCCCATGGCACAGCCAGGGCTCACTTACCTCATTACTGCCCACGGGGATGGGCTGTGGAGCCAATACCACTCGCGCCAGGAGCGTGGATCTGAAGCCGATTCAGGCTAGTACCAGAAACACACCTGAAATGCTGGTTTAAACACGCTTCCCCAAATCAAGAAGATAAGAAGCGGCTGAAAACGGTGGGGTGGGGGGTGCGCCCAGCTCTGTAAGACTGGACGAGGAGTCGGTGTCACTCCACGGCTGCTGAACAACGTACCTGAAACAGCCCCTCCAGCTGAGCCCGCGGCGCGTGAATTTACACTCGGAGCATCTTACATCTGGAGACAGGCAGCGTGCGGCTCGTGTGCTGGACCCGTGCCAGGGTTAAGCCCCCTGTAGTCGGAGCTGGATCCCTGGTAGCACTCGTGATGGGAGGTCAGGCGCAATGAAAGAGCCCTAGTAGTTTGAGAAGGAACACACCAGCACCTCTCCTGATGGGAGGTCAGGCGCAGTGAGCAGGAGGGCCCCCCTCGTGCTGGCAGCTCCGTTCCAGTGTTTGGCCGGGCTCCAGAAGATTAAAATAGAGCCTTAGACTGTCCCCTCGGCAGCACTGCCAGCCAGAGCCCTGACAATCCTGGGGTTGTACTCAAACGTGAGTCCCTCGGGAGCGTGGGCTTTACCCTAACAGCTGAGGCACTGAGTTGGTCGGAGCAGGCAGGGTTGTTGCTCTTGTGACTCAGACTCGAGGAAAAGAGGGATCAGGATGGAGCCACGAGAGAGCAGGGGATCAGGACCAACCCACAAGGCACAGAAGAGGGAAGGAGCAAGTGTGACCCAGAAGAAAGCCTGAAAAAATCCTTGTTCTGCTGAGCCCAGGCTCAAAGCACGTGTAGCCATGAGAATGGGGTGTTACACTGTCCAACCCCGAGTTCTGATTTAGCTCCTTTCTGTGACCATTTCAGGAAAAGAGGAGACAAGTAAAAAAAAAAAAAGACCATCACTTTCCTTTCTCAAAAATTTTACAAAACACTATGGGAAAAGGCGAAGGCCATGCAGGTTCTTGTGAAGAACCCCTGTGTAGGTGGAGGAATCTTCTGTGCTCCAGAAATGCTCACGGCTGAGGGGAACCAGAGCCCCATTCTCACACCTGTGTGACAAAGGGCTTCAACAAAATACCCAATTTTCAGAAGTGAGGAGCACTCCCAATACCATTAAAATCAGCAGCAATGGCAGATATTGGTGTTTCTTGCTGAAGGTGTTTCAAGTGTTACAGAATTATTTATCATCACTTAATGGAAGTATCCACACTTGTGATGTTTTGCTTCAGGATTTTCAGAAAGTGATTACAAACAGTTCCAGACAAAGCATTTTGGCATTGCCTTTTCCCCCCCACCCCGAAAAATCAATTTGAGTTGAAATTTCAAAATTATCTATTTTGAAAATATCACATGGATTTAGTAAAAAAAATGATGACATCACCAAATTCGGTGATTTTATTTTACTGTTTCCAAAAGAAAGCATTCATATTTACTGGTATAAAAGGCTGTTTTGCCTTTAAATTGATTTTAATATTAGTTGTTGCTCAGTTTATTTTTTTGTTTTTGTAACTGTGTTTGTGAGCAGAGAGCAGAGGATTCTACCTGGGGGTTTTTTGGTATAATAAAGATGAACTGGACAGTCAGAATAATTAGATATAAGGAGCAGAAGTCCTACTAATTAATTAGGGCCAATTCATTAATATTAATGAATTGAAAACTTGAAGAAAATAAAAACATTTCAATAGTTCTTTTCTAAATGAACATTTACTTGTTTGAAAAGAGAGATTGAAAACAGCAGCCAGGAGAAGAGAACAACGAAGCTTATTAGTAAAGATTTTTTGTGTGTTTGCAAAAACAAACAAAAAACCCAAATCAAACCCAAAGCTTTTATTTAAAGACAGAATTAAAAAATAAATTAATAGTTTTCTCAGAGAGATGAGAGTTTATATAGGTCAATATACTGGAGTGGAACAGCGAAATGGGTATCTTTTACTGTCAGAAGAGCAAGTCAGAAACATGCCTAGAAGAGTTTGTAACTTTTTTTCCAGTTGGTTGAAAAGCATTTCGGTAAAACAGCAGAGAACACAGAGGCAGGTAGAGAACAGCACTGGCCTTCATGGCAGACGTGTGAGAAAGGTCTGTGAGAATTGCACTGCTCACTTACTGGTCTTAGAGAAGAAATATCTCAGCTTGGGGCAAGCAAAACATACAAACAAGCAGGCTCTAAAAATGCGTGGGACATGCAAAATGCACCAGAGTGACTGAAGTGCATGCACACAAAAATCCTGCTTTGTCTTGGGCTGTTTCTCCCAGTTAATTTCTTAGGTTACTGTACATGACTAATTACTTGCCTTTGTTGTTGTTGTTTGTTTGTTTTGTTTTGTTTTGTTTTGTTTTTTTGTGTACTAACTTAGTAAATGTTGTGACAGTTCTCATATTCTGAAATTAAAAATTGAGGAAGCAGAAATGACAGTCACGTTTTATCTTGTATTTTAAGACTTGTTTTGCTCTGCTAGCTAACTGCACTTTGGCTTTGTTTTGGCTGAAACATTTTCCATGTGCGAAAACATCCACAGATACTCCAGTAAGATGCTGTTGTTCAGAAACTTGCATTGAGTTGGCATGTCCTGGCTGGAATACAGACATTGGTCAGCACATACTCTACCATGTGTACCTGTGCACAAGGCATGGATAATCAACTGATAATGGATGCTGACCAGAAAATCGTGTACCTGCTCTCCTACAAGCTCTCTGTGACCATGGCAATGTCACTTATTCCAATTATGGCATCATCTCATTGTTAAAATACATTTAGCAAGCTGTCTGTCTTTGAAAGCAGGTAAACAGTGACCCAGAGCAGAAACCTTCCTGTTTCAGTTCAGCATTCAAATGGAGTTGTTCTTATTTCTCTTGCTTACATGCAGTAGCTCTGTTCCATACTCCATGAGAAATCTTACCTGGCTTTGCTTTTCTTTGTACAAGAATATGTGAAAAAATTTAAATTTCTGTTGCCTTGGGTGGGTTTCACCCACAAACACTGGAAGCCATGCCTGTTTCATTCAGGTGTCTGAATTAAAATCAAAATTTAGAGACCAGATTTGAAAGCTTGGCCTTAGAAAAAGTCACTTTCCAATAAAAATAAAGGAATTCAGGGAAAAACCCAAACTGTGTTCAGATTTGCATGGATTGTAAAGCTCACATACAGGGGTACTTGATGATGGTAAAATAAAACATGTTTCAAAAAACACCCTTTAAAGATTGTGCACAAGTACATGTGGTATTTGGGATCATGTGAGTGTACACACCAGCATTTTTTTTGTTAATGAGGGAGAAGACTTGAAGTCCATAATTTTAGAAGATCACAGGAGCTGTAAGAATGCAAGAGCAATTCAAGTCTTCTAAATCTTAAAAGAGTTGACTTTCTATGATATTAGATCAAACAAAAAAAATCTATGTTAAGAACATTTTTATGACAATGATTCACTCGAATAAACTTAAGATTTCTTTTACCGACCAATCTTTTTTTTTTCTAAAATAGTATTTAATATCTGAAGTTATAAAAAATATTTGTAGCCTTGAAAATTATTTTTATTGTCTATTTTATGTACTGTACATGCCTCTTTCAGGAATTATTAAAGAAGCATGAGTCATACGGCACTCATTTACCCTTGGCTCGTGGCCATCCTCAATATATATTTTGCTATTTTCAAACCATTTGCAGGTACATAGGCATGAAAATATTGTTGTGTCAAGTCCCAGGCTCACAGTTAGCACAGCATACATCGTTCACCGAGATAGTTACAAAGTTTCAAAGCACATAAAATTGTGCATTATTGTGTGGCAAAGTTTAAACTTTAACATACGCTTGGTTGCATATATAGCAACAAGTGACAATAAAAATCTGAACAAAGACAACCAATAAACAGCCAAATTGCTATGTACAAACAAGGCAGGAAGCAATTAAACACTGCCTCGCACATTTCACTTAAATTACTTTTTCTCTGAGGGGAAAAAACAAACAACCCCCTTCCCCTCCCCCAAGTCCCCAGTAACACTATTAAGTCCTCGTTTTTATCGGCAAAATAACTGGAACTCCCGTTGCATTCAGTAGGGGATTCATTTGCATAACATGGGAGAGGGATTTGATCCCTGTTATAAGGAGGAGCAGTGTTTTATGCAGGGTGGGCTTCCCCCACTGGTAACGCAGCAGCGTGCTGGGCTCGCTCTCCCAGTCCAGACCCAGCGGTCCCTGTGACCTCCAGGGCAGTATTCCATGAGATAAAACCCTTTTATCTTCCCTACAGGTATCATTTTTTACAGCAGCATAAATGTGCTGTTCTCATGGTGACTCCACTGGTGCGGGTCCTCAGGTGACACCGAGCCAGCCCTGGATATGCTGACCTGTAAATGGGAACACCTAACCCAGCTTGGGTGGAACTACTCTGGATCTACACCAGTGCAAAAGAACCTGCAGTGAGGTCCAAGGACAGCAGGACTGGGCCCAAACAGACCTTTATAAAATGCATAAAGCCTGTGCTTTTAGCTTAAAATCTGCTTAATAAATTACGACGGTTCACAGTAATAAGGTAGATTAGTGCTACACCAATCCTTTCCTCCAGGTCAGTTCCACGTAGCTTTTCCAAGAAAGAAAATTAAAATAACAATGTACATAAAAAAATCTGTTGTTGTTATTTGACAAGCCCAAAAGGAGGTTTTCTGTAGCCTAGTGACAGCCAAGCTTAGTAACACATCGCCCTATTATGGGATGACTGGTTTAAAGGTTAAATCTTGCCCAAGGTGCTGTGGTGTGAAAAGGCTGAGGAAGGTGGTCCAGCCTGGCTCTTATTCACCCCAGAATTCCAGACTGAGAACCAGCTGGCTGGGTCAGAGCTCACAGACACCAGGAGCGAGGAGAGGTGATCTCTGAGCTGGTGGGATCTGTACGGGGTCCAACAATGATGGAGCTGCTCCAGAGCCTGATCAGATCAACAAAACAACTCCTGATGGCTTTGCAGGCTCTTCCTCAGCTGGAGGGAGGCTGTGGGGGCTGCCTGCACCAAGGAGGGTGGGTGACCAGTCCATGCTGCCAGGGTACAACGTGCAGCCCACCTTGGGGAATGCTACCCTTGCATTTTGCAAATATACAGGGCCAGCAGCTCTGCCTCTCACTTCTGGGCATGATTTAGCCTTGTGAATTCTACTTTGTGGAGTCAGAAGATAAATTATACTTACAAATAAAGTATTCTAGTTATTTAATGTTTTTCTGTAGTGGAAAAATGACACACCCAACCTGATGAAATCTGTGTTGTCTGAAAATTCAAGGCCTGTTTCCTAAAAACACTTTTTGCTGATGGCAAAGTTCAACACCTCAGAGAAATTCAGAGTAAGTTTCCAAGCTGTATATCTTATTTTCAGGTACACTGCACCCTTGTTGTTTGTAAGGCTGTATTGACGTTTTACATAACAGTCATGAGCCATGCATTTAATCACCCTGGAAGAGTTGACCAGCAACTTAATGCATTTCTTTATACCACAGAGAATTTGAAGATGCACTATCTCCTTGCAAAACACTTCAGATTTTCAGGATAAAATAATCTGTCTTTCCTCTCCCCCTTTATTGTCTGTATTTAAAAACATTATTTTATAGAATTCTCTGTGTCTTACTGTGTAGAAAATCCAATTGTTAATTAGTATTTAAAGCAGGATTCTTCTGAATTGCTGTGGTTGCATGTGAAATGTGTGAGTGATCTTCCTAAGAGAACTGCAGAACCATTATGATCAGTGTTATGACAGTACTCAAAAGGCACCTCTATCTACTATTTATTTATCTCAGGGTGTTTATAACTGTTCTTTTAACGAGACTCAGAATAGGGAGGGATAGCAATTCTGAACAAAGAACACATTTATAACCAGAAGTATTTAAACCCAGAACTATTAATTACTATTTTGACTATTAAAGTATGTTGAATAACCTCAATCTAGAGGTTACAGGATTGAGGAAGCATGTCCCATTGGGCATCACCTAAACACTCCTTCCACACAGGAGGGTTAAAATTAAGACAGGGTAGAATGTGGCTGGCATTGCACTCCCAAATTCCATCTCAGCACTGAAGATTATGATGAAGTCAAGGCTTTCCTACCAATAAAGAACCTAGTCTTTATTGGCTACATAGCTGCTTCTGCTAACAGATTTTTCCATCCTTATCTCACCGGCAGTGTGTGTACCTGTCTGCTGAAGATTTTGCTGCTTCTTGCCCTCACTGTTCCTGATGATCCAGAGCAAAGTGAGGTGGGTTTCGTTTAGAAACATCTTGTTTTATCTTGTCACTTACTGCAAAAATATATGGCCTCAGTGCATTGTTATTTTTATTCTCCAATAGACAGTTTTTATGGCAGTTTTACTTGGAGGTGAGACAAATTAGGGGAGGGGCTGGGCACTAGAAAACCTGTGTGAATTATTTTGGCTCTGCATATGAGCATCACATTGTTTGTCTCCCTGGTGCAAAGCCTTCTGCTGATGAACAGAATCTAAAGCTGCGAGTGCCTGCAGTGACAGTCAGCCATCTCAGCTTGGCTCTGGAGGGTGAGTCAGGCTTTCCCCAGTCCCAGCTCCACACAAGGGGTGTCCTTCTAACTGCAAACGGGCACTGACGCTTCTGCTCCCCCCCGTGTGCTCTCACCCACAGGAATTTTCAGTGTGGGTCTCATCCAAACCCTGTGGGAGTGAATGGAAGTCTTTCCATCCTCGCTGGGCTTTGGATCAGGTAATGAATGAATATTTTTGGTGCAAGAAAGTTAACTTCCCGCTCCCAAAAAGAGAAGTTACAAATGCAAATCCCTTGTGAGAAAGTTTTTTGCCTTTCGTATCACTGCAAAGACTCTTCTTGGCTTCCCCATACTGACCAAGCATAAAATAGTGAATAACATTTATTTTTGAATTTATGGATTGAGTTCACAGGGATTTTAATAGCACTGGGGTTATGGAAGTGCTATTTTAATAAGGACCACAGATCATGGGCCCAAATCCTTACCTTTACCTCAAGGACTTGTAAACTCAACTATTTAACTCAAATCTCTTTATTGGGGGCCTTAGAATGTATCCACCTGGAGGCTGGAAAACCGAAAGGTAGAAGGCTGCGCAAACACGGAGTGAGGGAATTTAACCAGCAGGAATGTGGCCTATAAAATTAAACTTCAAGAACTGTTTAAGAAAAATTAAAGCTTGTGCAACAGCTGGGGTTTCTCTCCACATTAGTTCTTTTCTTAGTGACTCCAGTGTTATGGTTCTCATTAATGTAGATTTCATTTTTGAGATCATCTTCTGTAGTTCTCTAAGTCTTACTGTGCTTGTAAAGGACAAAATCCTGGCTCACTGTAATCTGCCATTAAACAATACAGGATGAAAAGTCACCACCTCCCACCCTCCTTATGATATGAACATTTGTTTGGGGTCCAAAGATAAAATCTTAGATTCAAACTGCACCCCAAATTTCCCTAACCTGAATTGCCAGAATATCCCAATTTCAGACGTGGTGATCAAATTACAATGAATATTCAGGAACAAAAATAGGGGCATTTCTTTCCAATGGGTGTTGTGACAGTGATTCCAACATAATGAAATGTGTGGTGGCAGAAGAAAAGATAAACTTTGCTTCAATCTCGTGCAGACCCTGCATATTTTCCCTCCAGAACCTGCCCTCGTTCTGCACTTGCCTCAAAGGTTCACCTCCTAAGATTTTAAAATAACTTGCTACATAAATAATTTGAAATCTTAGCTCCTGAAAAAACCCCATTGTGCTAATTATGTCAGGCTCTGACAGCGTTCAGAGATGGTGTTGACTGCATTTTGTAGATGCTGAAAGAATTTTCATTTCTTTGAATGCCTAGAAACTCTGGATTATTTGTGTTACTAGACCAGTTAGCACTCCAGTTATATCCAACCTAAATCCACTTGAAAAGACTGAGAAGTAGGCAAATTTACAAGAAACAGAGGAAAACAGGTAAATAGAAGTTTAGGACACAGCCCTAACGTGAGGACACCAAGTTTCTGCTAACTTGCAGGCAGAACCACTCATGCTTAAAATTTTGCATGCTCAGAGAAACATGGACATCAAGAGACCTGCTGTTACTGGATTTGCAGCCACAGATTGTTCTGTTATGTGGTGATTGTTACGACTCTTCCTGCCAACCTGCAGATGCCAATGATAATAATAATAATAATAATAATAATAACGCTCACATCCTGACAGATGATACCTCTGTGAGACCAGAAACCTGGTGAGGAAGTCGAAGGATCAGGATTCTTCTGGGTGGCGTGCGTTGCCGTTTCAGGAGCTGGATTTTTTACCAGTGGTTTTTGTAAGTATGGCCTTCTGTGCATAATGCTCTTATCTCATGGGAAGCCATGCAGGATTCTGGGGCTAAAGGGTGCTGCTGAAGACTTCTGGGACAGCAGAACCCGGCTGCTCATCTGGACCCGTGGTCTGTTGCATAGCATTGTGCACATCTGCGTGTCCTACAGGCCGTGTGCTCACTGCCCAGGGCTTGCCCTCCTCGTGCACAAATGTTGTTTCATAAGGCTCCACGTGTATCCTGTGGACATTCTGCCTTGGTTCCTCATACGTGCCTTGCTCACCTTCTGGAAGGCTGGATGCATGAGGTACGAAAGTGCTCCGAGACCCATCGGTGGGGGTCTTGAACTGCTCGCCGGAGGTAGGTTCTTGGGACAAATCTGGAGATCTCATGAGATGCTGAGTGTAGACCCCCTCAGACAGGGAGCCCGCCTGTGTCTCGCTGTGCACGCGCAGCCAGCGGTGCTGCCGGCCGAAGTAGTTGTAATGTTGGTGCTTCCCGAGCTTTTTTTTCCCTAAAAAGCCCAGCGGCTGCTTGGAGCTGGAGGACTTGTCCGTGCTCTTCTCTGTGAGCCCTGCCATGCTCAGATTGCTCATGGACTCTGTGCAACATTCAGCGTGAGGATCAAAGGCACCACACTCCGTCAGGCCCCCATGGAGAGCCAGGCAGGGCTTCATGTCGTGGGCTTGGAGGACGTCGGGAGCGCTGCCTCCCAGGCCACTGCCGGCCTGCTGGGAGATGTCCTGGGACGAGGAGTAAATCAGGTCCAGCTCCCTGGGGCTCAGCGCGTCGCTGGAGTCGTAGTCGCTGTCGGTTGGGAGGAACACTTCGGAGCAGCCTTCCTCGTCTGAGCAGGGCTGGGAGTCTGCAAGGACAAGCAGGGGAGAGAAGTTGCTGAACTGTCGTTTATGGGGGCTTTTTTTTTTGGCCTAATTTAGAATCAAAGCTACAATTCTTAAAATGTGTGTGTGTTGCCTCTGTGGAAATGCTATGGGCTGAGGTGACAGCAAAGACAGTAGTCGGGGAGGATTTACAGATGTGTTATGTGGTGCTGGTAGAGTTAGGAAAAGCAGAAGGGTTTAATTTATATTAAGTGCAGGGAAAAAAATGTGAATTTGAATTGGGGCTAATTTCTGAAAGGGTCTGTTTTATTTTTTCTTGCTTTCACTAAATTTCATAGAGATGGAGATTTGGGAGAGTGAGAATCTCTAATCCAGGTTGTTTTATTAAAGATATCAGTTGAGTTATCTGTATTTATACCTGTGTAACTGTGGGCAGGGTGTGACTGCATGTTTGGTGAGAGGCTTGAGGCGCAACGTGGAGGTTCATGAACAAAATCCACCCTTTTGCCCATCAAGTGCATGATGTGTGTTCAAATCCAAAGCAGACACACATAGTTCACCTGTGAATTTGTGGAGCAAATCTCACACTGGCACTGAAATCACCTGCTGTCTTTTGGCTTCAGAAGGATCAATAATGTAATAAATAGTGGCACATGTGATAGAATGGATTGACATTCCATTGCCCTGGATAGTTTATATTAGATCAAAGGAATAAAACATAGATTTTATATAGACTATTCCCTTGGAGCTGGTGTAAATTGCCACATAGCCTAGAAATAACGAATCCAGCACATGCAGAACAAGATAATGCTCCATTTTGCATGGTGCCAGAGCTGAGGATTATTCTGCATTCATGGTCTGTAATACAGGGGAAAAATAGCTCAGGGAGGGATGGTGAGAATGAACACCACTGTGTAATGGAGCAGATCAAAGCAGCAGCCTCTTCAGATTTCTTTTCTTTTAAACTAATGAAATCTAATCAGAGTAGATTGTTTCATTTTTCTTAACTGTATAAAACTGCCAATTTGGAAAAAAAAAAATTATGATTACCAAAATGGTCATGGCAGTTGTTTAATGCAGCTTCTGTTGCTTTTGTTTCTGCTGTTTCATTTACTTGTTGCTTAAAGCCAGCTCAGCACAATGATGGTTTATTTTTTTTCTCCAAAGTCCTAATTCTGTTAGCAAAATGGGTTTTACTGTTTTATTTGCTTCATCTTTATTTGCAGTGATCCCTTTCTTTCATCAGTTTAATTTTCTGGCTATGCAGAGAAGCAGTAATGGCCGATGAGGTGGGTATTATCTGTGTAATTCTGTGTTTTAAAATGCTTGTCTAAACCACTGAGAACACTGAGGTGTGTGAAAACAGCTGTTAAATCGGACTATTGGCACTAAAATTTGCTCTATCAAAACAAAACAAGAGGGGCATAAGAAAGAATTGCTGCAAAGCAGAGGAACAGTCAAAGTCCGGAAAGAAAATGGCTGTAATATCAGAGAAACAAAAGGTGGGAAATGGAAACTATGGAAAAATCTGAGATTCTGTCAAATTATTAAAAACTGTGGGGAAGAATAATAGATACATGAGTGATGAGAAAGGGTCAGTAGCTTTTGCTTAGCAGCTCATGTCTCATCAGTGTCATAAAACTCTGAACACGTGACACAGCCATCCTCAGAGCTCTGAAGAGCTTTTGACAAGGTTCTTTACCACAGGTTCTGCAGCAAAGAGAAAGCTCCCTCCATATAATAATAGCAGATTTCTGGTGTAGGCAACAAATGAAGCAGTCAGCTTTCACCATGGGTGGATTTTACTGGAATTCTGGACATAGGGGAGAAGCCAGTGGTAGCACTTGTCTGTTCCAACCTGTTCATTAAATGATCTGGAACAGTGAGTGACAAAGTTGGCTCGTGATGAGCAGTTATTCTGAGTAGTTGAAAGCAAAAATTGATTGTAGAGATTGTACAAGGCTCTCAGGATATTGAGTGGCAAATGATGGGTGAAATGATTGTTAAAATACCTTGGCAGGTATGGGAAAAAATTGACTCCTTTTATAAAAAGACATTTCAAGAACTGTTATAATTAAAATTGAGTTCAAAGATTGCACTTGGTAAACACAAGAAAATTCTCTTACCACTCACAGCTTTTCTCCTCTGGATTCTGGCCTCAGGGGAAGGGGGAGGTGAAGGAAGACAGTCTAGATGTGAAGAGGTGGAGCTCATTTTCTTTTGAGGGTGTTCTTCTGAAAGATCCACAAGCTTCCTTATGGGCAGGCCAGCTGCTGGCTGCTTGTACCTTGCATACTGCAGTGCTTCTGTGATCCACCTCATCTCCCTCCAGATCTCATCGATTTGCTGTGGGGAAAAAATGGTGAAAAAATACAGTTGAGTATTAATTCTGCCTAAGTCTGTACTTTCTTCAAGTGCCCAAGTAGTTGTGTAGTCATTGCCCACAGAGAGCAGCAGCATCCCCTGACAGGACACTTCAGGCTGAGGTGGTCTGAAGTGATTTTGATTAAGTGCTTGTTCTCCTTCACCACTGCAGGGGCCACCAGACTCTCAAATTATGTCCCTCAAGCCTAAAATCTGACATAGGAAGAAAATGAAAATTGTCTTTTGATCAATTTGTAGCACACTTGAAAGTTGCTTTCATTCTGTACTGGAATGAAAGTGAGACTTCACTGTTGCAAACCTCGGAGTGATCAAAACCAGCTCAGTTCAAACCCAGTTTTTAGCAGACAAAGAACATACACAGGTGTGGAAGAATATACCTGCATGGAGGGCTGAAGCACAGCCGTGAGTCAAACTGCAGGTGTCTCTCTTATCATCACTTTGGTCTGCATGCATTTTAAAAGTATAAATCTACACAAAACCAGTTCTAACACACCTGAGAGATAATAAGAGACAAGTGCCTAAATCAATAGCAGGATGGAGCTTTAAGCATCTCTTCAGAGAGGAAGGATGCTTTTTAATGTGGGTATGAAGAGTCTTTTGATAATGGAACACTTTTAACATCTTCCAGCCATTCAAGATCACTGATGACTGGGCAAATGTTGTTGCAACCATGAAATGACAGCAGCTGTGAGTGTAATATCCCCCTGCAGCAGTGTCCTTCTAGAACATCCCTTGTACTTCTCCTACAGAAGGTTCTGCATTTAAAGTGAGCCTTCATATTAATATTGCAGCGTTTGAGGGAAACTGCTTTGCAGTTACACAAGAAACATTCTGCAAGAATGCAGAGAGCCCTGGGTCAGTAAATGGAGAGGCAAAAGTGAGGGGTACTTTGTGCAGTGAGAATTGTCAGATAGGGGAGTGACAGAGGGATCAGTGAGGAGACTGAGACTGGTGTTCTGAGTTCTCCAGCAATTACCCCTAGCAGGAGATACTTCACAAAATGCATATTCAAAGTGTGAAATTGATTCCCAAGGGGTACTGTAGATGCCAGATTAGCTGGGGTAGTTCTTGATGAGCCGTGTTGGAGACAGGATAGCTGGTTAGATGGATCTTTGTTTTGACCTAGTATGGCCATTTTTATGTAAAGGTGAAATCCCGGCTCCAATGATGTCAGTGCAAGCCTTGCCACTGAGTTAATTTGAGCTAAGAATATACACCGATAAGAATAGCAAATGGTTCAGGGATTAATTCATAATCCTGCAACATTTCAAGACTTCAGTGCAGCTCCATGAAGAGAATGCCAGTTAGCAAACATCTCACCTATTTGATTGTAGAGATTTTATACTTCCTTTCTGTGATCCTCCCTCAACCCCAAACAAGGATCATACTGCATGCAGTTGAATAAAATGCAAATCCTCTTGGTTTTCCCCCTGATGCCATTCTGCAGGTCATTTTAATGAACTGTGGTTCTTTTAAAATTTAGGAACATTAGAAGCATTACAGGATATAAATTACAGCTTAACTTCAGTTTTAGTCTCAGTGTCTGTAGAGTTCTGTCCTTGCTGTGTAACATTCTGGTAAAGACTTCAAGCACCTTATCTACTGGTTGTTGGGTTTTTTTTAATAATTTTTACTTTTCAGTTGCCCTCTGACTCCTTTTCAGAACTGGATTTATATTGACTCCCTTGCTCTTTACAATGTTTGGTTTGTGTAGTGACTTCAACACTGTCTCAGATCTCAGATCACACAAATGCTCTTGCGGTTTCGTGGTCACTGCTGAAGATTGCGGTGTGTGGTGGGCTGAGATATTTTTGCCAATAGGTGGAATACAGCTGGTTTTCATTTTGAGAGGAAACTTGACAAGCCCAATACACTGTCACAATAATTCAGCACAAAAGACTGAAACTTGAAGTGTTCTCCCACGTTTTTCCCAGCCTATAGATGTGACCCAGACACTTTGGAGGAGAGGGACACAGAACTGTCTGTACAGTTCATGCATATTAATGTACATATGCTTATTTTTGATGTGAATGATAAAAATCTTCCAAATTCTCCTACATACTGGGAGAAAGCTAGATTTTCTGAGTGTGAGAATGGGAAGGTGAGAAGGAGGGAGATGACTGAGAGGTAAAAGTACAATGGAACATTCCTCTCTGCCCCTCTGAAGGTTGCCAAAAGCTCCAAGTGGATAAGGCAAGGGGGGGTCTAAATACCCCTAAAGAGGAATAGAAATATTATCAACTTCTTCGTAATTATGGAGGGCCAAACATATTGTCAATGGGACGAATGGTTGTCTCGGCCCCTGTTCCAGCAGAAGATTCCTAGAATATTAAGAATAGAGAGCTGAAAACTTCTGTGCACCTCTCCTGTAGAAAGGCAGCTCATCCATGTCCATAGACACACTCTGCAGAGGTCATGAGCTTTATCTACAAATGCAAAAGGACAGGCTTTGCTATGCTGAACAATGGGGTGTAGTTAAAAGAGCCCTGAGTTGGGTTGGTAAAGTCTTGATTTGGGAATAGTACAGGAAAATCAGTGTGAGAGACGGAGAATAAGCAAATTATGGTAGCATGAATTAAAGTTAACATAATTAGTTAAACTAAAGTTAAATTAACATCACCATAACAAGTATGGTAACATTAGTGGTCCTTCTGCACTGAAGCAGTGCCACTGCCTGGTGCTGGCCAGACTCACAGATCTTTTTGGGGCCAGCTTGCAGAGCTGCATTCTTGAGTGTGATATTGTTGATGCAGATTGTCTCCACAACCCAGTCGGAATATTCATTTTAATCTTTTTAATTGCCACGTTATCGTGGTGGAAAATGTCCTCAATTCATACAGACAAAGAAAAACTCTTACACAACTGAATGCCCAGACATGGTGCTAACTTACCTCACGTTAGATGGGAGGGAGTTTTACAAGCAGACTGACACATTTCTTTATAACAGTCTAGTATAACTGTCATTTGATTTTACCCATAAAAATCCTTCTATAAAAGCAACAACTAAGGAAAGCATGTTCTGGGTTTGAATTTCATAAAAACAGAATTGCACTTTTGATACAACTGCTCTTTTTATGATGTCTGTGAATAATTCTCCATTTAGATTTCAAATTACAGCCCTATGCAATTTTTAAGAAAGCCACCTTAAAATCTCCTTGGAATAGTCAGAAACAGACTGTTACCTGTATGTAGTCTATAACTTGCTGGTGTCTTTGTTTGGCTGCAGCGACTTCACTGTCTGAAATTGCTTCCCTCAGGGATTGCTGGGTTTTCAGAGAGTCCAGCTCTATGACAGCAGAAAGGCGGCAATACAGGCTTATAAATTTTTCCTTGTAACAGCAAAAATGAACTGTGAAAAGACCAAGTGCAAAGGGAAAATTGTTACGTTCTGGTTATGAAATATGAAATCCTTAGCTTTCAGAACACAAATTTTATGACATATAGTAACCAGCTCTGGATGAGTTACTTTAAGCTAGAAATAAATAATACAGGCTCTAATTCTCCTCTCGTTTACACTGGATTTAGTCTGTAACTTCACTGATTTCAAAAGAGTCATTTCTAATTTATATCTAAGTGCAGGGATAATCAGGCCCTTAGTATGCAGCTCCAGAGGCTGTCTTGCCCTTGATAGCTTCAATCAGAAAGGCTGTTTCTGAGGCTTTCATAGCTCATCATTTCTTTTATCAAGAAAGTAGTGACATGACTGGAAAATGAAACTCATCTTTTATTTCTTTTAATTGAGTGTTTCAGAAAGAAAGGATCGTTTTGAAGGCTAATAACTTTCTCTTGGGCTTAAATCAGGAACTTTTGTGTAAATGACTCAGGAGGAAAAGTATTGCAGTGATAGTACAGTTTGGGGGAAACAGTTAAAAACCTTTTAGGTGTTGGCACACATCATCCTCTGAACTCTCCTGCAGAAGGGTGACACAGGAAGTTCAGACATGACCCCTTGCTTTGTGTAATTTGACTTAGGAGGAGCACAGAGCTCTCGGAGCTCTATCAGAGACAGAACAGCTACAGTGCCACAGAGCTTCTCAAACGCTAATTTACCTGCCTTCTTAAAGCTTGTTATTCCAGAACCTGTAACTGCTCAGGCAAAACTTAGCAGTCACCTCTGCAAATGGCAGTGCAGACGTACTGGAACTTGCTGAGGGAGAACAAGTTTTCAGAAATACTTCCCCATTCATTGGTGCTTCAGTAAATGCAAACATACAGCATGATCTTGTTAGAGCAGCGAATGCCTGTCTGTGTACTGAGTTCTGGATTGGGGCACGGTAATTTTCAGGGTGTTTCAAGTGTAAATTTCATACAGTCTTATCATAAATATTAAAAAGAGAAACGAAAACAGTGTCCCAGTCCCTTCCAAACAACATGATAAGAATAACGGAGAAATTAATTCTCAAACGAAGAAATCCAATCACAGAAACGTTGTAACAATAATGGCCTAATCTGAACATAGAAATCTCACCAAAAAAAAAAAAAGAGTGAAAGGAAGAATTCTACCTTCTGGTTTCAGCCATGCCTAGATATAGCAGGGATCCAGTCTGAATAGTGTGTGGTCTTACAGTACATGTGCCATATGTGGTGGACTCTTGAGTGAATTACAGCCGCGGTTTCGGCTCCAGTGCTGAAGTTTCGAGCCTTTGTGGTTTTAAGTCAGACCCTTTAATGTTACTTTAACAAATGTTACTTCAACATAGTCTTTTGTGGTTATGCAATTATATAGTTGGTAGCCACCAGCTAATGGGGAATGGAAGCTTCTAATATTTGAGATGTGAATCACAGTCACTTTATAGAACATCAGGGATGCATATATAATAAGTCATATAGAAATGTCGTCTGCCTTTGGCCAGAGGATTGCTTACTGAAAAAACACACTCAAAAGTAAACACACTCAAAAGTAAAATTCAGCTTTCCATACTATTTTCTCCACCCTGAGCTGCTTTTTCACTGTAGCAACGTTGCTGAGCAGAGAGGGCTGCACCTGGAATTCCTTTTGAGAGATGTCTCTGTTGAGTGTTTACCTGCACATCACCCCATGCAGTGCCTATTGCTTTGCCAGCCCGATGCAGACTGTGCTACAGAAATGAGAATGACTCCTGCCTGTGGCCTCTGTACCACATAACGAGAGTTAAATAGTCTGCAAAACCTCTAGAGTGGAGATTAATTTCATCAGAGATTAATATGCTTCATGCATTAATTTGCACAGTGACACAGCAGTCCCCTCTCACCAGGAGAAATGATGCGCTCCAAACACAGAGGCCAACAGGCCTAAGGGTGGCAGGGTAGGAGATAAAAGTCTGGCTTTAGGGCACTGCAGCCATGGGATGTGACCCAAAGCACTGAACTAACTCTTCATGTTCAATTACATTAGTTTTCCTTTGAAGGGGTAACTTTTCCTTGGCAGACTACACCATGTATTGTGTGGTCTGTACCCCTCAGAATTTTATGGCAGCTCAGCTGGCATCTGTCATCCCACAGCCACCACAAAACCCCAGGGTTGTCACAGGCACCACTTTGTGTGCTGTGGCTGATGTGGCATAAGTACAGTCATGTATTCCTGCCTGATCCAAGTGAAATTGTTGTGGGTGATGGTGGGTCCTGGATCTGTTGTGACTGCAGAAACATAGGCATGGTCAGACCTTCCATCAATACATAAATATTGTTCTCCTGTGTATCAGTGACTGGAACAACACTGATATAGAGGAGACAGGAAGGTACTGGTGTCACATCACACCTGAGAGAGACATCACTGAGGACACAGTTGCTGCCAGAGGCCTGTGCTGTAGTGGCTTCTGGTGTACCAACTTTTGGCTCATATCTTTCTTCTCCAAGGCAAATGAAGGAAAGATACCCAGTTTTACAGGCCAGAAGGAAACAGAGCAGACTGATGTGAAAGGCTCAGCAGTCCCCGTACTTAAATATAATATTCTTTCTAAAAAGAACTGTTAAGTCTTTATGAGCTGCTTTTATGTGGAACCTTTCTTTTCTCTGTGGACCAAAGAAGAAGAAATGAGAAATAGAGGACCTTGAAGCTAAAGTATCTTATGCCTTCTGTGAAACAGCTGGAAAACTCTGTTTTGGGGAATTCTTACCCAGTCAGCAATGCAGTGGAACAAGAGGGCTGAATCTGCTACAGCGCAGGATGTGCTCCCTAAAGAAAGAGATTCAAGTCCAGTGCTTTGGCATTTTTCACAACAGGCTTTTCCTTCACCACAGCAATAGGACAGTCTCCTGCATTTTTCCAGGAATCAAAAGGAAGATGACCCTCACATGGGAAAATCTGTTCAGACCTTTCACAGTGTTGTGAGGGAGTCAGACCTCGAGTGGGACCATCTGCACTCAGGAACTGCAAATATTCTCATTACAGAACCAGTGGTTACCCTCTTGACAACTCAGAGGGATGTTTTTTGCATCTCCCTTCACACTCCAACCTTGCTGTGTTGTGTGCAATTTTTTTTCTGGTTCTGTTTTTTAAAGAACATCATCTTCCAAATAAGCTTATAGACACATAGTGGATAACTGTGGGCTTTGCTCTCCGCTTTGCATTTCAATAACGATGGCTACAGTATATGCTTTAACCGCTCTGCTCCCTCTGTAACTTGTACACAGTTATAGGTAGTGTTGTTGCCAAAGCCATCATGTGATTTATTGACTCTCCACTGGGACAAGGGGGAAAACAGATACAACTTTGTGATTTTATTATAAGGAGACTGGGTTAATATTTCTGGGTGAAGCAAGCTACTATACCGAGTTCAAACATCTGAAGAGGGAGGTTAAGAAATCCTGAGTGTGGGGTGTAAGGATTATTCTGTCCTGGGGCAGTGCAGACGTCGTCTGAGGCGGGGAGCAGGAGAAGAAAGGAGACATTGTGACCCAGTTCCAACACCTCCTGTGTGTACAGACGGAAGTGCTTTGCCTGTACAGGGACACGCGCGGGGGGAAGAAATAGGAGAGAATTACAACATGGCACTTATATAAACAACACCCCAAATGATATAAAACATTAAAGAAAATTTGCACAACATCAAGCTCGGAATTTTTATAAAACATAAATATTTGGGGCGGGGGGGGGGAGGAGGTCGGGGGGTCGGGTCTAAATGTGGGTTCATGTCACTACATAAAATAAAGATTTAAAGCTGCAATGTTCCACATTAAAACAACACACGCAGGCACAACCCCCCTGAAAACAACATTTATGTTTCTTATTAGGCAGAAAATGATCACATGCCATGTGCTTTTCAAGATTATGATTGCATAATTATGTGAAAACATGAAAATGGATTCAATTAAAAACCTTTAAGATTCAATTTAGGCTTGGTTAAGAGAAATATGCAGCTCTCCCTCAACACAGCACTGAAAAGGTTTAACAAGTGCTGCAGCAGGAGAAAATGGCACAGGCAGGAGCTGGGCTGAGGCTGCTCAGAGCCACTGTGTGCAGCACTGCTTTGCACTCTGGGTGTGCACCAGTGTCACTGCCCCTGCTCCTGTTCACCACAAAAAAGAATAAAAATACATCAATAAATCTGTTGAATTAAAAATTCAGTTCATTAACATCAAAGTTTGGTCCTGAGCCATCAAACCATTTGCAACTGTGTTGAAGTGCAAGGTCATGTTGATGTCTGTCTCTCATGCACAATAGATGAGCTCAAATGCTTGGCTGAGCTGCAGCCTCAGGAACATTTTGCACAGTGATTTAAATATTTTAGTCCCTAACTCTGAAAGAAAACCAAAAAAGATGCACAAAAGCTATAACCTCCAAGCAAATACAGTAACACAGAGACCTGTACAGAGCCCTATTGAATTAGAGTGACTGACCACAAGGCAGCACACCATCTGTCTTAATTTTGGATTTACTTGAGTCTTACTTGGCTCTTCCCAGGCTAGAAGGTGCAGCACTGATGGATTCCTTTTTAAAAGCAAAGCCTAAACCTTTCAAAATCGAGAAATGTAGAACCAGATTAATTTATTTTAAGGCCACATCTTTCTAGCTGCACAAACAGACCTTGAAGTGAATATAAAGATGATTTACTTCTACTTTAAGACCTCTTTACCCTTGTAGACCAAAATAAAATGGAATTCATGTAAACAAGAAACAAACTTCTTAGCTTATTTTTTCACAGATCTTTCACATCATAGATTATCCTCCCTGACTTTATTTATTCACATGTGCATTTCTTGTACCTAAATGTAAAGCCAGAAGCCAGATACCTCTCCTCACCCACAGCAATCTGGAGGTCTGGAGATATGTGTTTTAGAAGTGCTACGTTTATCTGGGTGTAAAAGAACAGCAAAATGCTGTGTCATTAGCAGCCCTTTCATACAACCTCATTCTAAACCTCAGTTGCTCTGCTTGCCTGGAAAAATACCTATAATTTTCTTTGTCAGCTGGGTAAAGGTGCTCAGAACTACCAGTTTCTTGCACAAGTGCTTATTTGCACCTGCCTGAAGTGTCACAAATATGCTAAAAGATGCAACAATAGGAGCTAATTGAAGTTCGTCTCTTAATCCTTATATGTTCGAATATCCAGGAAACTGTTTATCAGAGATGTTCCACCTCCACACACTTAGAATATCAGAATACAAACCTCCTCTGCTTTCCTTGTCTTGTAGCCCTGACACTGAATCCCTACTTGCAAATTACAGAGTTTGTAGCTTTTAGTTGTGTTCTTAAAGCATCAGATTTTAAAAAGGGGATAAATACCTGATGCAGAGGTAGATTGATCTGTTTGAGGAGAGCCTTCACTGCCGTCTGGAGCTCGTACAAGAACAATTGAGTAGGGCAGTCTGAAGTATGATCCATACTTTCCACAGATTCTGAGCCAGAAAGTGTTTGGATCCATTCCCACTCATCTCTGTATGTTGAGTCAAGTTAAAATTAGAAATACAACAAAAGTTCAGTGCACAAGCAGGAATTCAGTGTATGTGCATTTGGGATCTGTTGATCGTTTAATCCTCATATTCCCAAACGTTCTAAACCTGTGCAATCTCGACTGTTTGGGGCTAAAAATCTAACTTTGAAAAGTTTAATTTTTCTAGCACATGTACATCAGGCTGAATGTTCCTTGCAAACCTCTGGAAGTCCAACTGCCTTTGAAATATTTCACTAAGGCTTCTCACTCCAGGTTTTCTCTTTCATGTTCTTCGTTCCCCATTTACCACAATGCTTTAAAAAAACATACATTGGAAATGACAACCATTAGTGGAAAGTTTAATCTCAGTGATGGACTCTTCTCAGAGTCTGCAGCCAAAGGACTTCCTGCTTTGCTCAAGATATGTCCATTTGAGACCTGATAAACATGGGAGTCATCTTTCTGGATCAAATCCTTAATTCACCCTGCCCAGTATTCAGTCTTGAAAAGCAGCCAGAATCAAACATTCAGGGAAGAAAAAAACCTCCAGGAAATCCCACTACAAGACAAGTAATAGATGTGGTACAATCTGCTCCTAAATAAAGATCTGATCTTAAACTTCAAGAGTCAGGGATTGTTATAAACTCTGAAGCATTAGGCTTTGTATTCCTTCCAACATTGTTGTTAGTATTAACTACTACATTCTGGATATCCTTGTTATCCATGTAGATATCCAGTTCCTTTTTCCTCATGCAAAATTCTCAGCTGGTTTCTGAAATGATATGGGATTAAAAAGCTCCAGAAAAAAAAGCCAATAAAATGTGTTGCCCACCGGGCAAGGACCAGGCAGTGCAAATAGTGCACTTGCCAGTGGATAAGGGAAGGGGTGGACAAAGGGAAAATCACTTTCCCAGAGCACAGCAGTTCATTGGGTGGTCACATTTGTAAATATGTTTTTCAGTTGCTGTGTGTTTGCTGCGGTTTAGAGTCACAAACCAGGTATGACACAAGAGAATGAACAGGAAAATCACCCACACCATCACCCACACTGTGGTCAGTGAAAATCCACAAGAAGGGTGGCACTGAATCCACTGGAGGTCAAATCAGGGCTGCAGGCTGTGATCTTATGAACAGGTCCATTCTGTGCAGAATTTGAATGACCATGGAATACCATCCTTAGAAACCAGCAGGGTCATATGCACATGTTCTGGGCTGGCCTTCAGACTGCTGGGAGGACACAGGTGCACCTGTTTAACTCAGAGCCAATCTCTGGGATGGCCACACCTGAGCCAAGCCTTTCTGCCACACACCTGAGCCAAACCTTCGTGGCACCCACAATTCGGCAATGGCAGAATTGCCTCGGCATTTACATTTGATCAGTTGTTTCAGGCTTAAATATTTTCTCTCTTATGTGTGTGTAAATACATACATATATATATATTTACTTACTTGGAGACATTGCTGTTGTCCCGGATTTTAACATGACACAGGACATTGGGCAACTTCTGCAGCACCAGCACTTTGATTTGATCCACAGAACTGCAGAGTTTCAGGTAGCCCAGATACAGGCCGGGAGGGAGGCGTTGCTGACTTCGTTTGTGATAGGAAAGTATGTCCTGTTTTAAGGGAAACAGTCCTTCATAAAAATCTCATATTTTTTTTCCACATAAGCAGAAGAGTTTGAGATCAAAAAGCAACAGATGTTTTTACAGCCGCCTTTTTGTTTCAAGTGTGTTCCCAATTCGCAAAGCACTTAAGCACATGCTTAAGCATAACAATAATCCCTGGTAGCTTGGATGCACTTGGACAACTTCTTACTTAAAGCCATACACAGGATCCCTAAGCTCTCCATGTCATGCAGGAATTGGCTCTGACAACCTGGGGTTTCAATCTTCTACAACTCTGGTGTTTAAACTGGCTTAAATAACCCCCACCTCTGCCTCCCGTCTGATCATTTCAGCAGTGAGCTGGGTCAGGGAGCTGATTCATCTGAAAAACAACTTGGGAAAAGGAGCAGTTGTTTTTGAGGCAGAGCAGTTCCCTGGTCCAGCTTTGGTGCATGGCTGCACAGACAGAGCACTGGGGAAAAGCTGCCACCTTGGGGCAGGTGGGAGAGAGCGGCTGCCTGAGCCAGGACTGTGCCCAAAGAAATCCCAGCCTGCAGCTCCCCAAAACCTGTTCTGCATCACCTGCTGTCACCAGGGAGTTCCCTGCGAGGGAGCTGGGGCTTGGTATTTTACAAAATTGAATTAGTGGCAGCGTTTTTCTGAGCAAATATCTTTTCCAACAAATGGAGCATAGGAGAAAAGAGTATTGATGGTGTATTTGCTGAGGCCAGGAGACATTTTTAAGGCTATGTATAGCAGTCCTCCAAAACTACCCAAAAAGTGATGTCTGCTGCCATCCTGAGAAATGTGTGCTTCTGCAGTGGGTGAGGATTAAGACACCTGGCCTTATGCCTTTACTCTTGGAACCATCAAATTATCTGCCAGTGCTATGCTTGGCTCTGACCAGTGCAATTAGACCCTCATTTTCACAAGCACTTCATGAACAAAATACCCATTCGATGATTAAACAAGTAATAGAAGAAAGGGTGGGCATTAGATAGGAATGTGTAAACCATTAGGGGAACATTTTTTCCACTAGGATCTCTGTGGAAATCTGATCAGGCCTGTATTTTGCTTTTCCTAATATAAAACTTTTGCCCAGATTGACATTTTTCTACACCTTTAACGCACTTTAGAACATTAAATCTAACATAGATCAGGTAGTTTTTATTGTCTTTTGGAAATTTTTGAACGTTCCTAAAACCTGGTAACATATAATTTGATTGCCTGTCACTTCCCGGTATGAAAAGCAGAGTCTCTGCCCAAGAAAGTGCCTATAATTCAAAAATTAATCACAGCAAGTCATCATCTCATCGAGGGTGCTAAAGAAGGGACTAAGATGACAATTGGTCTTGTATTTTGGGTAACTGTGCAACTGATTTTTAGGGAGATTGGCTACTGATATACTGGGAGAAGTAGGTAGCTGTTACCTACAGAAAACATGTATTAATCTTACCATAAACTGTTTAATGTGAATTTACAGATACCCCAATTCTTGGAGGGCTGAACCCCCCTGTCTCTCAGTATTGGTAACTGAACTGTCTATGCCAAGCAACTTCCAAGATCAATCCTTACCATGGTATTTTCCTAATTGTAAGTCTAGGAGCACGTTATGCAGAAATTAAAGGTGGGTTATGGTCAGTAAAGAATTCTTCAGCAACTATACCAGGCTCCAAGGAACCCTGAACCCCACAGAACAAGTTTATGAAGTAGAACAGTAAAGTTTAAAACCTAGATTTGGTTTTCAAGGTTGGATGGAAAAATCTTATGGAGTGTAGAAATTCTAAGTGTCTGTAGAGGTGCTTAAGAACATCCCAGAGAATTTTAAAGCTTTTTATATCCCTTGCTACAGAATTCCATAGCATGGTTTCCCGAAACTGATAGAAACTACTATTCTCTGCTAGGATTTTGAGGTAGTTTCTTTCAAATCTCATGGATATTTTGCATATTAAGGATCTGATCCCAGACTCACTGGAAGTAATATAAGTCTTTGCTTTCAATGGGAGCCTTGCCATTAATTTTATTGGGCACTGGACTTTGGCCTAAAATTCTACAAGAGGCTTCCAAAAATCAGGGCTCTGGCACAGGCTTTACAAAAGCAAATAACACACAGTAAGAGAAGCAAAGCACTACCTGGATTGTTATGAGCAAGATGTCTAACGCTGTTGGCTCCTCTGGAGTTGAAAGGGATTTCCTCTGGCTTTGTAGTTTGGATACCTGCATCCATTTGCCATTAAAAAATGAATACAGACTCTCCACTTCTCTTACAGTAACTATCAGCATATTGCCATGTCGATCCTTGATTGGTTCATAAAAAACTCTGCCTAAGTTGTGAGTTCCCAGCAAATTCTAGAAAACAAGCAAATTATAAAATAGAAGTTATTTATCACATAGCAGGAGAGTGTTTTGTGAAACTTAGGTTTCCTGTTGACTTCAATAAAAAGTAGACACACAGTGTTTCTGAAACCCTTGCCCTGCAGTCGGATCATTTAGTAGCAAAAGGAAAAGTTTTTCCCTGGGCTGTGTTTGTGGATTGAGTTGTGAGTCCTCCAGTGTATTTGGTCCAGCAGGGTTTAGTCCAATGTTTAATGGAGAACAATGACCCAATACCTCTGTGAAAGGAAATGATGCAAAGTAATTCACTTATTTGGGCTGAACTTGCTATTTTTGCTCAGTTTTGTAATGATGAAGGATGCAATTTTCAGAAGCATTCAATGTTGGTCCAGTGGTGCCTTCTTTAATTTGAGCTTCACTGAAGAGCTTGGTGTTTGTCTGAACCTGCCCGGAACCAAATGTCAGAGATTATATAAAATTCTTCCTCTTTCCCCAGATCACTCAGAACAGACACTTTAAATGTTTTCTCCATTAACTGTAATCTCAGTTTTCTGTTCCCTGTTTTAAAATTATTCAGACTATTTTCAGGAACAAAAGCAAGAGATATTTGTGTTGAATGTAAATAATTCTGTAGCTTAACTGTGGAGTGTGTTTGTGAAGAAACACAGGATTCGAGAAGACATGGACCCTTTTACTTCAGATACCAAGAATGTGCTAGACAAAACAGGCAGAAACTAACAAAACTACCAGGGCAAAGCTCTCCAGGAAAATATGTGAGGATTAAAGAAAAGTAATTTTAAAAGGCTCCACATAAAATACATATTTTGGTCAAAATCCCTTTCCTCACACAGTAAGGCATCTGCTTATAGGTGCAAACACACTCAATCCAGTGACCAGCCACTGAAGAGATTCCCAGATGTCTTAAAGAAAAATGCCTAACATTTAAAATATGCTCATTACTTTGTGATTTTTCAAGAGATCTGCAGTAAGCTGGATAAGGGAGAGGGATAGTTTGAAATGAAAACTTGAATTCACAATGAAGCACATTGTATGTTTAGGGAAGTGCTGTACATTAACCTAATGACATTGTAAACTGGTAGATTACCCTGAAATTATTTATCTGTACTTAGCAGGCAATATTTACTTATGAACTGTATTATTAAATTGTTTATAAGCTCTAGGTAGTCACCACAGTGACTGCCCTTTATGTGGCATAATAATTTTGGCTTTATCCATCCCTCTCCAGGGCAGACTGTTGGTGTCAATGCAGCACTTCCCCTCTGCCTTTTTTAACTGTTGTGCCTTTTGAGGTTTGCCTCCATCTCTGATTAACACTGGCTGTCTTGAGTGTACATTTTGTGTTAATCCATGTGTCTCCAGCTGGGATAAGTCACTGCAGCAGACGTAGCCATCTAGTTGTCATATTAATCACTGCAACACGTGAATGTGCCGAGATGAAAACAAGCAGTTCTTGACTGTCACTGAGTGTGTGGGGTGAATGGATTCCAGCACAGAAAACAGGGGACCTACTAATATCAATGTAGGACTGATTAATAGACTAAAAAAGTTTTTTGTCTGCTCAGCTGGGCACCCCATCACTTGTGTTTTGTTTGCTTTATTGTCTAGTGGTAACAACAGGCAAAATTGCAGTCCCTGTTGTCTCTGAATCTCCTGATCTAGTCCCTTAGCAGCTGTGTCGTCACTGATCTTTTCCATTCTGTCCTAAATTCCTGTGGAGTCAGTCTATTAACTTCCTCAATAAAATGTATTCAACCATATAAACTTTATTGAGATCCTTCCAATGGTGGATCCCATTAGGCCACACACCGTTAGAGGCTGGCAGATCGGTGACAATCCCTGTGTTCATCGGGGACCAAGCTACAAGAACAGGCATCGAGGGCAATGAATTTGCCAGAAATTCAGCAGAGCAATACACCACATGGGCACATTTGCTGTATCTCAGGGCTTTGCATCCCTGGTAACAAATAATAACACGATGTCCTGGGAATGCTGGGTATCCTTGAGTGCAGTCCATGCAGGCTGGCAATGCTCTGCTAAAGGGAACCTGCACAGGGGGAATGGAGCTGAGCTAACCCCAGGAATATGTGCTACCTGAGCTGAGCCAACCACACCAGAGGGAATATTCGGCAGGTATAGTTAAAACTTTCTCTAGTGACAGCTCAGAGGACTGACAGGCAGCTGCTGCTTCACACAGGTGGTCCTCCAATAAAGGTGCAGCAGGCTGGCATTCCATATATTTCGGGGCACTTTGGGGAAATCAGTCAGGACAGGTGGTTGCCCAGGAAGGCTGCTCTCCTGTACAGCGTGCCTGGCCAAAAGATGTAAAACAAAACCCCACGTGGATATTCCTAATACTGGCCCCGAAGTGTGTGGCTCTCAGAGCTGCTGTAAAGCGGGTTATTGCGGGATGACGTGTGGCCAACACGTGCCCAGCGTTGGGGATCTTCATTAACTCCATGGCTGTACCACAGACTTGTGGGAAGCTTTGGTGCCTCCACTCAAGCAAAAGGTGGCAGAAAGTGAGGCCTGGATATAGTTTTTTCCCTGTAAGGATTGTGCACACAGTTTTTTTGAGAATGTATTTTCCCATAAAAGCAAATATTTTAATGAAAATATCTGCCTTCCAGCTAGAGATTTTATGGTATCATGAAACCACCTTCAAAGCTTTACAATAAATGTCAAAATGTAATGCTGGAGATAATTTCTATTTGGGTAACGAGTAGTGGACTGAGACACAGAAGGTTTAGGTGACTCAGGTTGTATCTGTAGCAGAGATTGGAACAGAACAATCCTGAGAGTCACTGCTAAGCCTTTAACACATGGCATGAATTGTGCATGTAGTGCTGCTGTCCTTACCACTGGCAAGATCTGTGCACCACTAATCTCTCTTTGTCTCTGTTTTTAAGGGTCTAAATAGGTATCTGACTTGTTCTGTGCACAAAGGCACATTTTAACCTAAAAATTTTGGCAGCTCAACGGCGAACTTAATGAAAGATTTGTTTTTATTTTCCCCGTTGACAATCCACACCACCAGGGCCATCCTGTTTGCCAGACAGTGTAGCTCTGCCCTAGAAGTTGTACTCTGTGAGCCTGGGTGAATAAAGAGCACATTTTGGCAACTTCAGCAGTGTGTTTGTCCTTCCTGTCAGGGACAGAAGCTGCCTACTGCTGCACGTTCCCACACAGCACAAGGGAGTGCTAAATCTTACCCAGAGTTTAAATGCTTCATTAATAGATTAATAATTAATAATGAATAGGCCTATAAGAGGCTTTTGCGCAGCAAATATTAGGATTATAACTCTTGAATTCCCAACCTGCAAACCCACAGGCTTGTCTGTGGTCACTATTTACTGGCTCATATCTGTTTGTTTCTTCCTCTGCCACTGTTGGTTCTTTTCTTTGTGTTCCCTGCCCCTCACTTCTAATGCACCTCCTTGCTCCCAGCTGGCAGGAGGGGCTCAGTGCCTCATTTCTGCTTCAAAGAACAGGCTGGAGGGACAGCTGGCAGCACTGTCCCCTGGAGATGAGAAAGTCACTGAGTTAATAGCCAGGAATACGCCGTGGAACGCACCTGTAGCTGTGCTGCTGCTGAAAGCATCTTCTGCCTGGCCTGAAGGGCTGTTGATGAGGACACGGACACAGCCATGTTCTGCCTCAGCCATCTGATGTCGTCCCACATGCAAGACAACTGCAAAAATATATCCAGTTCAATCAGGTTTTGTTCTCAGCATTTACAAAAGCAGAAATGAAGCTAAACCAGCATTTTGGACTTGGAAAGATCAGTGGGTATCGCTCATTTTGAGTTTCTGTGGATGGCAAAGAGCTGCCTGGATAAACGTGACACAGATACTGACTCAGACACAGAAGGTGTTCTGTAAACATCATGCACCTGTTTCAATTGGTTTTGGACTACTGTACAAAATTGATTTACTGGTTTTGGGGTCTTAAAAAAATAGTGTGAAGACAACTTGAATGATGGCACAGCCACAATACCAAATGTAAAACTTATAGTTATTTCTTTAGGCTCTTTCTCTAAATGTTCATAAAACCTTAATGCACCCACATAGCAATCACTGATGTAGGATTGTGCATTGAAGAGTTAATTGTGCTACTGGCAGTGACCCAGTCAGAATTTAGTCCACATAAATGGTTTGTGAAAATTGCATTTAACATGAGTGATAAAGCACTTCAATCATTTAGCTTTTTAATTATATCATTTCATATATTCAGAATGATGAGCTGAGGCCTAGGCACTGCTAGCAACAGATCTGCAGAAGCAATATATGAAATTAGACTCCCGTTACCTTTGTGAACCACAGGAAATCCTGCATAACTGAACTACTGTGAGAGTCATCGATTTCCACAATTGGGATTTGATCTTCATTGGTTACTAACAAATTGTCTTTGTAAAAAAGTATAACACATAAGTAGAGTCCCCTAAAGAGAGAAGGAAACACTATCAAACACCTTTCATGTCTATTCACATCCATGCCAAATTTAGTCAAAGAATCATAGGTGTTAAGTTCTGAGGAGAGAAATCGAATCATCTGGTCTTAAATTCTGTGTTCTATAGATCATGCAACTTCAGTCAGTGAATTCTAAAAAGTATTTGGGAAGCTTTACCACTTTAGATGATGTGAGACTATGTGAATCCAAGAAATTATGAATCTGTGCAAGCCACTGATATTTAGTTTCAGTGCGAATTTTGCCAGAGTACACAGTACATAATGGGGGCTTTATGCCCTTTAGAAATCAGAAATTTTACTAAAACTTATCATTAATGTGCTTAGTTCTGCCCTCGTTTACTTCAGAGCAAATCTGAGGTAACTCAATTGAAATCAGGTGGGTTATTATGGATTTACATTAGTGTAATTGAGTGTAATTTGGCCAACATATCTTCAAAACTGTTTAGAGAGATCATTCCTCTCAATATTTACCCTTGCAATTAGTTACATACGTTAAGTAGTTGCCGTAGGGAATTTAAAGACTCTGGAGAGCTCTTCTGGAAGAATCAAACTCTTATCAAAATACAAAGGAGAAAAAGCAAACTGAACACTGCTGGCAATGAAAGAAGAAATAATTCCAGCATAAGCAACTTCCAATTGCTAAATTATCAAGGCTGAGGGTTGGGTCACACTGGACTGCAAACCTGTTAGAGAGTTCTACGTGTGTAGCTTGTTGCCAGTGGACTATTCCAACGAGTTATCTGAGCTCTGCACTTTATGTTATGAATAAAATAAATGTCACAGTTTCATTATTGAGCAGCAACAGAGGCAGTGCTTCCCAAATACCTCAGTAGCTGCACTTTGTGTTTGCACAGAATATTTCACTCTGTTACTGTTTGACTCCATTTCCAAGAGTAACAATGAACAGATTCTATTGATTTCAGTGGGGGCTGGAGCTTTATTTCCCTGTCAGTCTCACACGTGTGTGATTTTATCAGGTTCACTTCTGACTGATTGCTCTTTCATTGGTAGTGGCATCTCCACACAGATTTCTAAGGTGCTTTTCACTGTCACAACAACAACAACAACAGCTAAAACTCCGAGTGTCTGGGAGATAAAATGAATGACAAACCGTTTCAGAGTCTTCACAAACTTGTTCGATGAGTGGAAAAGGTGCTTCAGGCTCCTGGAAACTGATTGCTTGCGACCAGCATTTTGTAATTTAGAACTTTCTAAAATAGAAAAAAAAGAAAACCAAACCCAGCTCTTAAATTTCAGTTAGTGCCTCATAAGGAACTTTTGTTTCTTGACCCACAATACTAAATTTCAGTCAGTGTCCATTTTATTCCTTTCAAAAAAGCAACATTTAGAAATTGCTCAAACACAACCCTTTGACTGTGTTTTCATTAACTTAGTGATACACACCAGCAAACAATTTCCTTACTTGCAGCAAACTCAGACTAGATACAAAATATTTTGCTCCTAGGCAAAGTATAGCTTGAACCAGCACTGTGTGCTCTTAATGGTGTGAATTTTGCAAGGGAACTCGACAAACCCAAGAAGAGATTTGAACCACGAGTCAGCATTTTTGGTGTTGTAATTCTTCAGTTTCTCTCCACTTACAGCTTAAGCTTCTAAGAATTGGTGCCCTGGCAGTCACCAGGATCATGGCATCATCAGTCTAAACTAAGGAAGAGCTTTAAGGAGACAATGAGGTCGACCTTCATCTTTCTCTGTATCACATTCAGTGCATCTGCTTTTGCTCGAGGTTTTTTTCCCCATCACAACTTCCACTCACCTGAATTGCCTCAGAGCTTTCACAGTTACCTTTACTCCCTAATAATCTGGAATCCAAGGAAGCTGAGACCTGCTGTGTGCCTGCCAGGACCTCTGGACCAGCTGTCTCAATTTGAAAAATTTTATAAATTCAAATATTGCCCCAGTATTCTAAAAAAAAAAAAGTTGTTATATTTTTATACACTGTATTCTTTTTCACTTTGGTGAATGTGACTTAATGTCTTTCCTTCTCTCACGCATGGCCTTGTAAACCAAAGAAATACATTCCCATGGGAGTGGATCCTCACCTGTGTACCTGTGAGCAGGTTTGGAGGGGATGCCAATAGATGGCAGTCAGGGACATGCAGGATTGTATAATGCACTGTCAGTTGTCCACACATGGCATTTTAAAGCACTTAACACTGATTTCTTTTTGCATTGTCTTTTGCAATGTCTTTCCTGTTTAATGCTGCTGTAAGAGAAACAGCAGCAATATTTAACTAAAAAAAAAAAAAAAAAGAGTTAATTCTTCAGATATTTATTGTGGCAGGTAAAGAAAGGCAAAAAGAAAAACGCAGCTGTGAAAGTGCATCTCAGTTTACCAGGATCTGACTTTTTTGTTTGGATGAATCGTGGATCCCCATCCAGATGGAAGCACAAAACATTTTGAGGGACACCCTTTTCCAGTGGGAAAAAAAAAACATGACTCATGAAGAACCATTTGCTGAAAGCTGCTGATCATCTGCTTAGGTGTTCTCAGAGTAACTTATTTCCCACTTACCTCCAAGAATGGGAGGTGTCTGTCTGTGTCTCCCTACTGATTTCTAAGTTTGAACATTTAAAGAACATCTAAATTTGCTGCTGTCACAACCCCATCTGTGGAAGTGCTCAGCATATTTTTAAATGCTGAATAAATTTGCACCATAATTCGCACGTTGAAAACCCCAGAAAGCAGACACATTGTTAGCAATAATTACTGCTCTGTGGAACAGCGAGTACAAAGAGAGCAAGGTTCTGTTGGGGGTGAAATCATACAATTCAGATGTATGAGACTTATTAGATCATCAAATCCCTTGTCTTTCCAGTGCAGACTTGTTCTCCATGGCATATTCTCCAGTGCACCGTTCAGCTTAGTTTTAACAGACTCATCCAAATCTATGACTACTCCTTTGAAGCAACTGACCTTTGTTTTCTTTTCCCTTTAAAAATACTAATTTTGCATTTCTACCCATAGCCCCTCAGATAACTGTTATTTTACTGTGAGCATTTTCAGTGTATTGCAGTAATGCAAACCAAATGCTACATGAAAACTCCTGTCTTCCTGTTTCCTTCTTCCAAGGTTAAGACCAATTTAGGAATATAAATTTCATTCTAATTATTTTCTTCTATATTCCCTCCATCTATATGGAGGGAGGGGAGGAGGAAATTGCTGAAGGCAAAGCAACATAATTCTGAAACTCCCAGAGACTGCAGCATTAAAATAAGAGGGCACATTACAAGTGAAATATATGTTATTGGGCTATTCAGTGGTTTGGGTTTAGTCCACAGCTTTGCAGAAGCCAACTGCAAAAGAAATAGTGTAAAACTAGATGGAGACTGTAAACTCTCCTACGTTGCTGTTTGCTTTTGTTTTACAGTAACATGTGTGTAGGAGCCAGAAAACATGGAGCTGAGATTAGAGGATAATTTGGATCTGCAGGAAATGGAGCCTTGGCTGTTACTTAATTAACTAATAAATAACATAGAGTAACCTTCATAGAAAAGCACCAGTAGCAGCACAGTAAGTTTATATTAATAAATGATACAGCAATAGAGCTGTGAGCTCTTTTAACAGAAGCCTAGGAGTGAACACATAGATGAGACGAGAGAATTCCCAGTGATTAGATTGAGATCAGAAGCATTCAAACCTGGATTGAAATGGACAATTAAATAAAAGATGTATTTGTGACACTGGCAGCCTTTCTCTTCAAAGGTAGGGTGTGCAAATGTTTCTTGCAGTTTTTTATGTAAATACAACTAATACTCAAGAGCAACCTCATGGAAGAACAAGAACAATGCCCACTGGTGTTTGTGTGTATCTGGAGTCTCTAAGGAATGTGTGTTATGCTGTGCCATGTCTCTGAGGAGGAAGGTCATCTGGAATTCTTTGTCCTGTCACTAGACAAGTGGGTGCCTCTTCTCAAGTGGGGCAGATGGGAAGTAAATGGAATTACCTCAGTGCAAAATTATCTGAGATCTTAGCCCCACAAGCCAGGCAGTCTGTGGAACAGCTAAGTATCTTTTGGAGTGACCCTGGATAGGGAAGCAAAGTAGCACAAGGTGAGCTAGATCCCACTGCAATCGTAGTGGAGGGCATAAAGTGGGATTTAGAGTCTTCACTTACTGTGTAACCTTATGAAAATGCATTGAATGGCTGGAAACTTCCAGATGAATTCAAGCTCAATTTAAAGCTGCACATTTTTAGCAGTGCAGGGAGCTGACACTGGGATAATGTGCATGGAGACACAGAAATTAAAGTGGCCAGACACCTCAATAGCTTGAGACCGTGACAGATTCTGTGTTACCTCACCTCAAGGTGGGATGTCTTTCAAAAGGAAATTCTGTATCTCATGAGGAAGCCTGACAGTCTTCTACCACCGTATGTTGGATGACAAATGTCACATGTTTTGTATGACAAAGTCAGGCTCAACAGCTAAAACATGTAACTTCTTAAATTCCCTACCTAAACTCAGTTTATGGCTTGGTTCTCAAGTCTGTTTGTGTATATTCTCACAAATAATTATAATCTAAACATTTTAAATGTCCTGGGGAATCAGAGATCCTTCTCTTTGTTAAAGGCAATTAAAACTATGTGCTCTGCTTGTGAATCAAGTTACAATTAGAACATATTTATTTCACTTCTGATTTGTCCAGTAAAATACATTTCAATTAAACTTCAGAAAGAAAATATCTGGTAAGAATTTTACTGAAGAGTTGGGTTGCTTTCTTAATGAAGCATCACACAATTACTTAATCCACTCAGAATTGTTTAGAAAAAATGAGCTACAAGAAAAAAAAATGCTTAAAAATATATTTGAAGTGTTGCCAGGACATACAATTGTAGTAACTCAGTTATAATAGTCTGTAGCATGGTATTATGAAGACAAATGGATGACTGTTGTTTGTAATCATCAGGGTTTTCCAGAAGATTAAACATATGAAAGCAAAGCTTCCTAAGTAATTCCCTAGGAGATTTCATCATATCACAGAGCAGGTTCAAAAGCAACAGCTGATCTAATTCCAAAAGCTCTTAAACTCACTGTACATTCCAATGTATTCTTCCTGGTATTTTTGTAAGCTTGTTTTCTCCAGCCCCTGCAATGCAAAGTACAGGGCAAAAGGCAGAGCCTGAATGAGCAGACCTGGGCAAAGGATCTGCCTGGAATCCGGGCAATGTCCCCTCCCAGATCCCACTGGAGCACCAGCACACTGCCTTGCCCTTCCAGATCCTCTGGGATCAGAGGCTTTTGCCCATGCTATCCAAGTGATCTCAGACCTTTTAGATTGATCACCTTCAGTTTTTCCACCTCCCTTGCACTCATCCTCCACTCTCCTTCAGCCAGCCCGAGCAGCATGAATGGGATATCCCACAGAGGAATAACTCCAGGAAGAGCCGAGGTGCCTGGACACCTCGTTTGAGTTCCATCTGTCATCATTGGGCTTTAATTCATGCAGAGTTTGATTCTGCTCTCATTAATAAACCACAGACAAATCAGTGGTATTGAGGGATCCTCCTCAAACAATGTCCAGCTGTTCACAGACATCTCTAAACCAAATGGGGCAAACAGAGATCACAGTATTGACATCCAGCCAGGGTTAGATGAAGGAGTTAGTAGAGGGAAGCAGGGTAAAGATAAAGGATAAATGCCTGGGCAGGTCCTCAGCCTGTGTATGACAGCGTGTCTGTGCTGACTTCTCTCCCTGTCAGTTGAACCATGCAAATTTACATTAATTAAGAATCTAGATCAGGCCTCTGTATTATATGAAATGAAAGCTGTTATTTGGGCTTTTCAGTCTTAAACATCAGTTTATCTCAGATCCTTGACCAAAGTCCTCAGAGTCCACCGAGGCTGATAAATTCCAAATCAAATTTCAGAGTCAAAATGATGGAATAATTCTTACTTTTCCTGCAAACTTTGTCGTGATTCCTTACCACATTAGTGAAATACAAGGGATTGACATCAGTCATATATTTAAAGCAAGTTCCAAAGGTTCTCCTGTGATGTTACCATCCTGATTTGTCCAAAATACACTACTGTGTGATGCTAGCATTACAAGCAATTATGAGATTTTTTATTTGGTTGGAGGCATGGGTGTAGCTCAAGCTGACTCCACATGTGGTGCTGCCCCATGAGAGCTCTCACAGCTTTTTGGGCACAGAAGAAACTGGAGCTAAATGGATTTTTTTGTATTGTTATTATTTATTATTTAAGGAAAAGGAGTTAGGAAATCAACAACAGAATTGTCTGTGCTCTGGTTTGAGGAGACTGGGGTTAATTTCTGGAGTGGTAGAATTTTATAAGAACCAGGCCCTGGTGTCAGATTCTCAAAAGGAGGGATTTTCTGCATGTTGTTTATAACTGCTTCTGTTCTGGGCTGGTATGTCAGTAAAACAATTTATACTGAGAATAGTTTCAGATGTTCCATCACTTACTCCCTGTTCACTAGGAAGGTGGCAGGAAAGACCTGAGATAGGCACTAACTCCAGAGGGAAAAACTGTACCGTGGAAAAATGGTACATACATTATATTCTTGAATAGCCTGAAAAAGCTGTGTAAGAGATAGAGTACATCATCTGTATTTTCAGTGCCAAGACCACCTGCAAGTGGTAATGCTTGCATGAATTTTAATCAGGGAAACAACATTTTCTTGCAATATCTTCTTTCCCTTTCCTAGCACCGTAGATGAGTAGTTTAAGTTGCTATGGTTACGATGGGTTGTGGCAGACTGTGGATCATCGGGATGGTGACATATTTGCACGTAAGGAACAAAGGCTGCATCTTTTCATTTCAGCCCCGTGATTTTAGCCCCAAGTATTTCTGCGATTTTAAATCAATTGATGCAGCTTGACACAGCAGTCATTCTAGGTGAAGAAAAATGAAAACTTCATGGTAGTTTAACTTTTCAGTTTGAAATAAGTCCCTTTGCAATGAAGCATTATTCCAGTTAGAAGTTTATTTTAAGAAAATAAATAGTACTTTTCAACAACCCGTATAGAACAGGAGTTTTTATATATGCTTTAAAAAGAATGCCAAGCTGTTGCCTTGGCTCTTGAGCTATTAAAGGCACAGTCTGTTTCTCATGAATGAAGTTTGGCTGAGATTCGAACTCTCTCCTAGTTTTGATCCATTCTATTTTGAAATGTAGCAATCTTATCTTCCCACTGCATTGTGCAAGTATTTTTCATTATGGATTGGCAATGGCATCCACTGGAGTATTTAGTGTCTTCCATTTGGAGCCAGCCAATTCCCCTCTTTTGATCCAAACCAGTTGTTAACTTTCTAAAGTATTTCCTTATAGAAAAAAAAAAATAAGAGACATCCTTGAAACGTTTCAGTGGAATCCTGTGGGAAACTAATTTGTAGGGAAAAACAAATCAATAGGTGTGTAGGGTACAGAGGGGGAAAGGGTGTGCCTGTGTGTGTGTGTGTGCATATGAGCTTTCAGATGTTTTCATCCAACTAATTTCAAGGGTTAAGAGCAAGATAGTGTGCTAAAGTGATTCCAGATGGGCCAATATTAATATCTTTCTTTTCCTGATGAATGAGAAGGTATGACCTAGTTAGAAAACTGCTAAAATTACAGGCGCCACAGAGGCTTCAGCTGGTGCCCTACCACAGAGATATTTATCCTTACCTCTGCAATTATAGTGCTGATGAGCTGCTCGAACCTGCTGAAGGAGGCGTTCCAGGGCCTCAGTGTGTCCCCTGTGCCGAGGTTCTCTTCCACTGCAGTCTTTCCAGTCTATTGAACAAAGGAAATAAACAGAAATGAAACACAAAGGTGCAGGAGAAGGTCTAAAAATATTTTCTTGCCTCTGGTCCTCCTTGGCTTTAGAGGAGTTTTACGTCTCGGCAGGCAGGAGGAGTTGTTTTCAACTCTGCAGTTGTTACTCGCACACCGAGTTTTCTTTGCCTTGTGCCAGCTGGGTAATTAATCATAATGATTATTAACAAAGAGCTCCCAACCAGCTCTGAGAAGCTCCTGTAGTGCCTGACTAGACAACAACTATTTCTCTTCAGTACATGAATGGGCTCTGTTGCTGCAGCCAGAGCTGCTCTCAGCCTGTCCCAACACTCAGCCCCTCACTAAGATGACACTTCTGCTCCTTCTTACTCTTTTTTTTCAGACACTGGGAGGCTTTAGGCACTCGAGTCCAGTTTGTAGGAAACAGCAAAGCGGGGAATGAACATCTTCCCACACCCAGAGCTTGCTCTGTAGCCAGAGGAACATGTTCCGTGTAAAATCACTTCAGATCTGCTCCCAGCGGCCTGAAGGAACGCTGGCAATGCCTGCCCTGGAGCCCTCGGGCTGCTCAGCACTGCACTCCTGAGGCAAAAAGCTGCGGTTTCTGTCCCACAAACCTACAACCTCCAACAGACTTTGTTTTCACTCCTTTGCTGCTAGTGACAGTCTCAGTCTTGATTTTAAAAACCAAACTTATCACAAATAGGAAGAATAAAACTGTGTGCGTCAGAGAGGAGCTTTTTAATTCCAGACTTGGCTATTTTCATACTTTGATTATAAAGAGAAAAGAGTATTGCACTCGTTTCCTGACCCAAAGTAATGGTGAATCAAGGTATTAAGAGATCTGTCTGCACAGGAGACACGCTTCCATCTTGCTGGCACAGAGGCCACGTACGTACTCACAGCCACCAACAGTTTGCTCACTCACTAAATATACAGATCTAGTTTCTAGTGCAAGTTTGGAGTCAAACATTCCTTCCAATGGGCTCACTATGCCAGGGATATAAATACCTATTTATTTACATTTAGTAGCAGCTAGAGTAAGCCCCTGAAAGACTGGAAAGAGAAGATATTTGGTATCCCTGTAGCCTGTGGGCAGTGTGACAGCTGCAGAGGGGCTGTCCCCTGTGTTGTGGGCTGTTGCAGAGATCCAGGGACAGCTGCATTCGTTGCTCTGTGTGGGGATAATGTCCTTGGACCTCCTGTGAGCAGCCAAGAGGGACCAACTGGAACTCACCAATCTCAAGTGCTTTGGTGTCATCAAACTGGGATTTCTTATGATTTCTCTATCCCAGTGCCTTCCAAACTTTTTGAACCTCCAGAGTGCTGACTACCTTAAAAATGACATGCAAACCAGTTTCCCTCATTGTCCATCTCTCACCTGCTAATGAATAATCCTAGAAATCTGCTATCATTTCATAGAGCAGCTGCACAACATTGGCCACCACCTTCCAGGCTGCTCCTGTGTGTGGGGGAAACAGGAGGACAGTGGCAAGTGTTCACTGATACACAGACACATCTCCAAGGATGTCACAAACCTTTGATGCTCTAGGATGGATCAGCATTAGGCCCTGAAGCTTTTATTTCCCTTGCACATACTTCTGGCTGCTGTTACAGACAACTCTGTAGAGTATTAATGTATTCACATTTCAATTTTAGCTTAGGGCCATGTTTTGTTATGCAACACTGGTGTAATGTCAGATTGCTGCCTTCTTGCCAAGCACAAATCTGCTAGTTTTCAAAACCAGTGGTGGAGGCAGTCACAGGGTAAAGTTCTGAAGTTACTCCAGTAACTGCAGTGGTAAATAACGTCTTGTCTCTCTGATGCAAAATTCACATCATACAAAGCTGAAGACCTAAATGCAACCTGTTTTGCCAGGAGTGTCCCTTCTCTGGGGATATTTAGCTGGATAACTTGCAGCTACTGTAATAGAGTCTGTGCCCCAGCTGATGCAAATCTCTGGTTTTTGAGGCCAGTCCTGTGTGGTTACACCTGGCTGTAGTCAAGGTAATTGCACATCACTCAGTTGTTCAGTTGTCCACATAGAGACTTGTCCCATGATTGTAGCACATTTCTGGTCTCAAACAGAGTGTTTCTTTAGCCTAATTCTGGTATTATTCTGCGGCAAACAAGAGCAAAATTGAAGCAAAATGGGCCAATGGTACTGCAAGAGCCTTGTTTATCCAACCCTCTCCATTATGACTACTGAGAGTAGGTCCAGCTTGCTGTATTTTCTCACATTAGCATGTGAAGGTTATTAAATTAGCCTAATAAACACTAGTGTTAATGCAATAAAAGGAAAAGTCTCACTTTACTGCATTAGTCAATACAAGGGGAGCTGTAACACACTGAGCCAGTTTGGCAGGGAACACCGAGTCTGCAAAAGCAACCAACAATACAATGTGATTATAATAGATTAAAAATTACAAATGACAAATCACAGTCCTAATGGAGTCTGAGAAAACCTGTCAGAGGTTGGAAGGGGAAGAAAGTCTTTTGGACATTTCTGGAACATTTCAGTGCTTGCAGGCTAGATCCTGTCAACATGTGTGTTCACACTAGAGTATCTGACATACAGGATGCTGGAAGAATGGTCCTGTGAATGGGATCTGTAATGCTGCAAGGCAGAATACAAAATTACACGAGATACATGTAAGTGTTTCGCTTGCAGCAGCTCAGATTCAGGTTTTGATCCATTCCTGTATTGAAAAATGAAGTTCCAACCATCAGAACTCTGTTAAGAGAAGTAAAGGTCAAAATATTTCTCACTTTTTAAAGTGTCAGTGACTAGACAACATCATTCTGTTGAAGGACTGGAGAAGAATAAAAGCTAGGACATAAATATAAATATCACATAAATATGCGATTATTTTGCTCATTTTTGGGAGAGATTTATTTATTTCACTCCTAGAGGACGGGAAAATTATATCATGAACTCCAAGATATTTGTCCTTTTCTGTTCTTTGAGGAGGAAGAAGTTCTTACAAAGCAACATCACCAGTCAGACTAGGAGGGCAGACAAACTCAACTTACTTGAAGGAGAAGCATATTCAGGAGTAGATTTCCTTGGAGGTCCCCATCCTCTCATGTTGTACGCCGAAACATGGACATAATACCTCTGGCCCTGCAAATGGAAAACAGCTGGAGTCAGAACTATCACTGGATTCAAAACCTTGGCTGTAATAAGTGCAAAACAGCCCCTCACAGAGGTATTTTCTTTGAGAGACTTAAATAGGTTTAGTAACTTAAATGCACCATGACAGATTGAAACAGCAAAGATTCGAGGGCAGATGATCTGCTCAGGGTTATCAGAACACAACAATCCCAGCTGACAAACCACAGTCTCTTGTGCCAAATCTGAACCCTGGGAATTCTGACAATCAGACTTCAGAGCAGGAACTTCCCTTTTCCCTTTTGTATTTAACAGAGCCTCTCTGCCAGCACAGCAGTGGAAGAAACTTCATTTGGCTGCCACTAAAATCAGTCAGACCTTTATCACTGATTTGGATGCATAAATCTAGGCCAGTGGAGAGCACTTCTGGAGGCTTAACTTTCAATTTAAATATGTTACATACTTTGGAGAGTATAGACAAGCATGTGGTAAGCACTGATCTTAACATGTACCTGTGGAAGTGGCTGTGCATGTTGCCTTGATTTTAACTTAAGTGCAATTACTCTGTTTGGTTGCTAGAAAATGGGAAACAGAGAGTAAATGCATATTGTGGCTCAGCTCCCTTCTGGGTTGGCCCCTCTGGTGCTGTTTCTGGTGGGAATACTTGCATTTTGAGAGGCTTTGTTTTCATCAAGTATTTTGGGAATCAAAATTCATTTGTACAAATGGTACTGAAAGTAGGAAAAAGACTTCCAGACACATGGTCAAAATGATTCTGCTTAAGAATCCATATCAAAAGTCATCAATTTTCTCCATTGCTGACCCAGCTCTGATCGGTGTAGAACAGATATACAAAGATAAATAACAAAAATTAAAATGATTTCCACTAACATGTGTCTTCCCTGAAAAGGAGAAGAGGAAGAGTTGTTATTTTAGGTATTCCATCAGAATCAGGACTAGACCTCTCAAGAGCTTTTTATCTGCACTAAGGTTATCCTGTGATCCAGAAAACAGCAGCTTTCACTCCAGTCTTTTCTGATTTCCCCTATCAGTGATAACTCCTGGAATGGTTCATGCTGAACTGTCTATTCCTTTGTCACTTTTGGATTATGGATACCACACATATTGTGCTTAATCACTGGAATGTGTTGCTCCAAGCAAGGCACTGCAGTGATTACCAACAGACAGGGATGCAAATTATCCACCTTTGTATCACTGGGGCTGTCAAGGTCTAAAGAGTCCTCTGGCACTTACTGTTCTGAGACCCGTGATAGAGCACCTCAAAGACTGAAGATTATCCAAGATTATTTCACCAGCCAAAGGAGAAAAGTCTTCTGAAGAGCTCCATTCCACTAGGAAACAAATGGTAGGAGAAAATCAAATCAGGTACCAGTGCAAGCAAAGAAGTCAAAGTACCTGAGTCACTCACAGGTTAGGTTTCTCTCCTAGCAGTTTCCCAGTCCATGTGGATACTAAAAGTCATGTTTAACAGTAATGTTTAGCAAAGCTTTACACAGTAATTAAATTATATCTCTGTGTATGGGAGACAAAAGCAAAATATTGTTCAGAAGCTTTTCAGGAAAGAATGCTTAGAAATAGACTGCAATACAAATAACCTTCAGCCAACATTTGCCCTCACTTAAACTATTTCCTTTTAAAGAAAGAGAAGTAGTGCAAAAGAGAAGGTAGAAGACTTGGGACTGTTAATGCCATTTGGCAGTTTATACACCCAAACCAACAAAAAGCACTGGTTTGCATTGGATCTGCATGGGCAGAGAATTCTTTTTGCTCCACAGGTCCACAAAACTTTCATCACCTCCCCTTGGCTAATTTGGATAGAAATATCCTCCTTGGACTAGACCTGACACTCACTAGAGCCTCAGCATTGGTTTCAGTGGTTTCTGGCTCTGCTGTCCAGGCCTGATGTTCCTGTGGTCACTGAAATTACACAGCTCCACAAGGACCAATTGAGCTGTGTCCACTTTTGGAGGGAATTAAGAGGTGCTGGGCTGACAGATCCCTCCCATCTGCCCTGCAGCCTGAATTACAATGGGCACCTTCACCAAAGTGCTCTTGTCATTCCTATTCCTGCTTCAGGGCTTATGGAATTAGTGGTTCTGCTGTCTGTGCTCTTCCTCAGTACAGCAAAAATTAATGTGCACATAAAACAGTATCAGACCATGAGAAACTACTGGATGACTGGAAAAAAGAAAGAATATATGCAAGTGGGGAACTGATGGCTGCAGGTAGAAAACCAGCCTTTTTTGTTAAATTATTCTTTAATAATGACAGATGCCATGATTAGAGGTGAGGTTGATCCTGGAGTGATACCTCTGGGATTTAGTGACTTGTATCTTCAGAGCCAAACTTCCAGGAAAACCTGTCAAAACCATTGTGAAATGAATCTCTTGAATTATTCTACAGTAGGAATTGGGAGATCTCATTAATATCCTGGATTTACACCAAAGCAGAGAATTCAACACAAAGATTTCCTTTCAAGATTTACAGAATAATTCTTGGATACTCTATTTGCATATTCATTAGTATTGGAGTCAATAATTTAGAATAGATCAGAGGATATAGGTATTCTGATTTCAGCATGGGGAATTTTCATCTTCTGGCAGTGTCATACTGGTATTTTCATATTAAAAGAAAACTGCTTGAGAGAATTTTCTGCTCAGCATATACAACATTTAACTGCCAACACATTCTTTCCAAAATAGCCAAGTATCAATAGCACAACTCATTTTTCCCTTCTCCCCTGGTAGCTCCTTGTCCATGATTGCAGTTTGTGAATGCCCAGCATGATCTGCAACATTTTTGTGTTTGCTGCAATGAAAAGAATATTGGTTTTGTCTATTGTCTTTCAACTTTTTTCACTGCGTATTTCTTTAGTTTTCCATGGGTTTTAAATAGCTAATTGCTGCCACCTTTAGTGGCAGCTATGTCTATACATTGATATGAAAATATAGAGACTGTTATGGTACCATACTGTAGGGTTTTGTTGACAACCTAATTATAGGAATACTTATAAGTAACATTGAATGTGATTACCAGTCAGAGTTTCCATTGTAAACTGTGATTTCCAAGGTTTCAAACTCCACTTGCAGTAAATCATTGCAGACACTCTACACGTGCTGCAAACTTAGACATGTTTTCTGTTTTCCAGAAGGATGAACCAGAAGGAGAAACCCTGTTCAAACTGCTGAACATGTCAACAACTCAGAGTCACTTCCATCACCACTTTTCTTACCAAGGATTCATGTTGAGCAAGACAGAGTCACTTGAGGGAGATTCTGCCAGCAAATCCTGCCTGCATTGGAATCCCCAGGCACACCTGAGTGTCCCACTCCACGTGAGGGGCAGTGGGAGGGTCACACTTCAGGCAGCACAAAACAAAAGCCAAGGATGAAAGAAGTGGCTTTAAGCTGCTTCTGAGCTTCCCAAATTTTTACTTGTTCTGTGGACTGGAGACTGCCCAAACATAAGCTGGTAGTTCAAGAGGCATATTTAAATTTGGGAGGCTTTCACAAATAAACATTGCAGCCCTGTTCTTGGTGTGGGTCTGCTTCTCAACCCTTCCACTTGATGAGGCTGAGGGCTCCAGTGTTTAGAGATCCTGACACACTGCCTGAGGAGGAGTTAACTCACCTAAACAGGATTGCAAGCATGTGACCAGCAGGAACACCAGGATACTGGTGTTGGGACTATCAACAGCATGGCAGCCTGTTCTCAGAAATAACCAAGGACCACTGAGTTCAGAGAGAGCAGCTGAGCTTCCAAGGGGAGAACAGGCAGACTCAGCTCTAAAGCCACCTCAGGGACAGCGGGGAGTGGGTTTTGTGATGGTAAATCCCAGCTCTGCTCTGATGTTCCAGGCCAAATGGTACTGATGTTGGTAGTAAACTCCCATGTGCAGGGTGAGTACCCTCACCCCCTTGCTGGGTGACACCCATCTCATGGTCCCTTGAAGGAAAACTACTCCCTGCTTGTCCTGTCCCAGGTGCTGCGGGTGCCACCCCTGTGGGTGCCCCCCGACCCCCTCACCCAGCCCAGCCTTCCCTGGCTGCCCAGCTGTGCTTCTCATTACACAGCCAGCACTGCCAGCATTTTGCACTCACTTTATTTTAGCTTACCCTGTGGTGGCTGAGACCCCTGGAACTGAAAACATAGGAGTACGATTTTAGCCTGTGGATCAGGTTATGGTTATCATTATGATTGAGAACCCCCCCTTTTAAAGGATATTTACCTAACAAGATGGTGTATCCAAAGTTACTCAAAACTTAATTTTCAAATATATTTATTTAAAAACCTCACTTTTGGAAAAAACCCCGTCCCCCAGTTTCAATAAAAATTTCCATAACTGAAAAATAAATATTTTTTCAACAGCTGTGTTGGAATAGTGCCTTCTTTTTCCCCTCGTTTCAAAGTATATCTGTTGTAAAGAAACTCATAACAAATTCTGGAATTTTTTTGCTTACTTTTGATTTTAACAAACTTTTTTCCCCCATGATTTTTAATGATTCAAGTGAGAAGAAGATGACATGATATAGCTTTAAAGAAATGCAAATCAACTGAAGTAATTTATCACTTAAGTTTATATCTCCTGCTGTGCATTGACAGATTTCAGCTTTCTGCCATAATGGCCATCTAAAAATAATACATAATATTCTGCTGTACTCGTTCACTGGGTTATAAAGGTCTTAGAAGGATGTGGATGCCAGTGTTCCTATTTCAGAGATGGGAAAATGAAGGAAGGAGAGGTAGAGCATCTTGTAGGCCCCAAAACAAGGGGAAAAATCCCATGCCCTCTGTTTACATGTCTTAGGCCAGTGTTGCCCCCACTCCCACTCTGGCCCTGTGGGATATACACAGATCTTCCTGGTACCAACACCAAGCCCCACATAAATGGTCTTGGGATCAACCTGGATCTAAAAATGAGATAATCTGTGCATAGCAACCCATCAGGAAGATTTAGCTACTTCTTTACCCTCTTTGTGGGAGTGCTGGGAGACAGCTCTGGCAGCAAACAGGAATTACCAACCATTTGTGTCACGCTGAAGGACTTGGGACTTTAAGAGAGAACAAAAGGCTGCCTCACCTCAGCACGTAAATGCTGAATATAAACACGCTCGAGTGGAGAAACCCGAGGATGAAGAGGGTCCTTTATAAGAGCCCAGGAACAGGAGCTGGTCTTGTAGACTGCACCAACTGTGCTGTAAAGGACCTGAAAGCTGTTGGGTGAATTAAGGATGGAGCATGTTCCAGTCCTGTTCTGAACACCCCAAAGGGCTGCTTTGTTGTGAACGCTGAATGTCTTTGCTGTTGCGGCTTTCCATCTGACACTTCATGTTATGTCAGAGCAGGGGTTTTTTGTGTGTTTAATATATTGGTGACTATGTGTTTTAATGAAGGTGCCCTGTATTCCAGAGCTAGCAAATGCACGATGTGTTGCTGCGGTCGCCAAGATAAGTAGTAATTTTTAAATAAACAGCAGTATAAACAGTTACATAAAACTCATGTAAATTGCTGGCACATAATTTTAGACTGGCTTAAGTTATGTAACTCACTTCTGGCCAAGTTTTTTTTTTTTTTTCTTTTTTAATACTCAATTCAGGCAGTTTAAAATAAAGGGAGAGGTTTATTTTCACCTGTTTCTTTCCCACTCACTAGCTTTCTGTTGTACTGAGCACGTCATAAACAGCTTAAGAGAGAGATGGACGGACAGACAAAAGGCAAAGGGAAGGCACAAAACACCTCCTGACCCTATTGTGAATTTATTCAGGAAAGCACCTTCTCCTGAGTCAAGTAAATAGCCCAAGCCACAGCAGAATTTGTCACTTCTCTTGATGTTTGTTTTTGCTTGCACTTAAATCACTCACTGAATTGCTGAGTAGATTAATTAGACCAGGGGACATGAGCTCTGTTGCCACTTGTTGTGGTCTACAGAACAGTGTATGGAGCTGGGATTCTGGGTTTTATTCTTGCATTCTGACTTGCTGTGTGACCTTGGGCAAAGAATGATGCCACTGTGGCTTTTAACACAGGCTACAGCAGCAAAGATTCTGGCTCCTTCCTCTCCTTCCCCTGTCCAAGCCCTGGGCTGAAGGATAAGGTGATCTTGGCTTGTGTTTCCAAGGACCTCCAAGCAGATAATTCTGTTGTTCATTAGCTGCCTTTGAAATGTAAAACTGAAAGAGGGCATCACCAGAAACCACTTCACACCAACTTTTTCTGCCTGATGATCTTTAAGAAATAATTTTAATAGTTGACACTCATGGTGTCTTAGCAGCTGGATTTATGGACATTAAACACTGGCATTTGTGTGCATAAAACCAGGGTGAAAGAACCT